TGGGTTTCATTCTGAATAAGGCTGAACCCAGACTTACGTTAGCGGTTCCGCCAACAGTCACCGTCGACGGATATCTTTGAGGAGGCAATGGTGGTCCAGCAGATCCATTCCAATGATGGGCATGGAAACATCATCTACTAGATAAACCCTGTGGATAGGTTCTCACAAATATGGACTGGGGTGGGTCCACCATTTTCCGAAGGTTGCGATTGCTTTGCCATTACCTGGTTGCAGATTGTAAGATGGTAAATGATGACTTTCCTTAATGGTGACAAAAGAGCACCAACTTCTCCTCTAGTGTCTACGACGTACAAAACTTCCTTCCTCACTTCAGTGACGTAAAACAAGCCAGTTTTTCCGCCAACTGTGGTCAACGTTAACGCGTGCCGAGGAGCAGCTTTCTGGCTTCGTGCGAGCTTTGTAGAGAGCGCATGGTTCTTCGCTAGGAGCCAGCACCATTCAAGATTTTCGGCCAAATAGTACCTGGCCGACGGACGGCTACAAGAAATGGTACCAAACGCTCTTCTGTGTCGTGCGTCATGACCCTGGGCTCCGGGGGCGTAGAAGCCGCTTAACTGGGCTGCATATCCCCATTATTTTCGAACCTTAAAACTATACCTTTTCAATGATGGGATATATGTTGGAGATGCACCTGCCGGAAATCCCCAGTGTTTCCCCAGTTGAGGTTGCTGGGCCATCTATAGCAGTCCACTGAAGCGTCACCAGCACACTTTGCACTGAATATGTTTGTTTCAAAAGGAATAGTTCAAAAGAAAAGGCCATCCTCGAACCTTCGGTAACTCGTATCTTCTCGTGGCGTGCAAGCTCGTGAGTAGCTGAGCTATCCCCTGGAGCGATGTTCCATGAAAGCTCATCTTGGCCCTAACGATTTGTGAGACTTCTTTTCCTCGGAAGTTCTGCTTTGAGCAGTTTATATGGATCCCCTGCTTCAAGATTAAACATAGGCGCCGTTCCGTGTTTTTCTAACTCTGGTGGTTATGGTCATATGACTGCAACATATCGAGTATCAGATATGCAGCACTTTGGTCTTAAAATTCAGACACGGAATACAAAGACCATTTCTCTTTGTTGCCTAGCCAGGATGGAGACAGTTGGATCTGGTGAAATCTCTGCTTGATGCGAATAAAGTTATGAGTCCAGCAGCGCGTGAACACGAAGTTTTTGATATGAGCAGGCAAAGGGTGTCAAGAGAAAAGAAGGAATGCAAAGGTACGAAAAGGAATGGGCTAGCGATTTCAGGAATATATCTTACATAAAATCGACAGGCTAAATGGCCAGTCACTAATTGTCCACCCCGTTATATGCCCACGAATGCCAGACGAAGAAAAAATACAACAGAGTTGCTAGGTGGCATTGGACGTTTGATAGCCATACCAAAATACCCACGCCCCCTGTCCAACTGGCTGGAGGATAGTATACGAGCGGCACACCGTAACACTAGAAATACCACTGGTCGCAGATACCTGACCACGTGTCTTCAGTTTAGTCTGTCAGCATCAAAGGTAAATCTGGTCGAAACCCAGCAGCTGATTTTAGGGAATCACTTGCCGCCACTGACTTTTCGCATAAACTAAACCTTATTTATTGCCTTGTGAAACAAATACTCAAGATTTTTTGGCTTCAAGCTATTGAAAATTAGATACTTTGTAGACCTCTTACAGTCCAGAAGGGGAAGACTCTTAACTCAACCACTTCCGCATGAACAACCGTCTGTTTTACTCTTGTTTCTATGCAATATTAACACCATAAAATAGGTAATCCATGCAGTGTTCCAACCAAACGAAATCAGCTGCCAGTGAGTGGATTATGGCCTTTATCCAATGCCCCTAAGCAACCACCGCTCAAAGGTGCGGATGGCAGGCATATAACGATGGAAGGCTGTCCGACACAGACGAACAAACTGAAAACATTTTGGCACTAGTGACGCAATACACTTTTGTACAACATTCTTTCTATACGCAGTACAGTTTTGTGGTGTACGAGTCTTTAACGTGCCCATTTCACAGGATGCCATGGGAGACAGCAAGTAGAACAAAGGTTTCAGCAGTTTAAAATCATCGACACTCATCTTCGCGGGAATATCATTATTAATGTCACTGATATAACCAATACTCACTTCTTGCCGATGCAAACTGCCTGGTTTCCCTCTCTATGTTTCATGTACCGTTTAGGACTTGATATTTCCACCAGCCCATAATAAAGCCTTCATTTCAGTGTGCCCCTTTGAATTCACGAATAAAATATAATTATTATTCAGCAGTTATCAATGGATTAAAACATAACATCCACTCTGCTTCGTAGTTTGATAAGGCGAAGTAATGGTAAATACTTTGTGCTTCATAATGTCCCATCGATACGACTTTTTATTCTACTTTACGACGATTCACTCCGCTTTGGTTGGTGCCTAATACAGTTGGAATTGCTACCATCATTGTACCCACTTCGTCTACTGCTCAGCTATTCGACGCAGATTTCTAAGGTTGCTCTAGAGCAAATTCCTTGGCCCTCGACATTCGTAGAGCTTTATGGAGATGGGGCTCTCGTTGTGAATTAATAGAAAGCCTACGGACTCTATAGCTCCCGATGAAGACAGTCATGTCTGCAAATTATTGTTGAGATGTTAACGTAGCATACGTTTTGTGTGGAAATCTGCAACCTGAGGATTTTAGCGTTTGAATATTATGAGGCCGTGTCTGAGAGATTGCAGTTGCATAACGGTCAATTCATATATATTCTGCTCTCTTGCCATGGTAATGGCATTGTTGTGTTGGCAAGTGGGGAAGCTATCACTAAGATTTCGGAATGGCTAATTTTTGTAACTGTGCACAGGAGACAGTTTATATGCAGGCTGTATTTTGAATATTTAGGCTGTAGATGTCACCGCAGAATAGGCTATAGCCGCATGTGGTACACTGATGCTACCGCGTCTTTGATAAAATGTTTGGGTGGCCTGTCACCTGGGCTGCTCCGGAGAGCACACGTGCCAAAGGCGAAAATAATTCAGCATATTAGGGCCACTGAATTCATATCAAAATGGACATGTGAATTTTCCCCATTTCTTTCGAAGATAGGCAATTTAACATCCAATAGAAGAGATAACCCCTTCATCTGTTCGGAGGGTAAATAGTAGAACCAGGCATGTATTGAAGCACCAAATTAGGATAAAATTCCTCTCTGTGACTGCAGTGGATGTGATCGCAAGCACCTTCTTACCCTTTTTTGATCATTGGAGCTAGCTTTGAGACTGGGCGCATAAAGAAACTTTCAAGTCAAGTTGATATATACTTCGACTTTGATATCCTTTAGGGACTTCCGCAAGTACGTACAGCCGTATTTACTTCGGCAAGGAGCACTGTGCAGCACTGTGTGGCGTGAGTCTTGACAACGGAGGCCCGTCTGCGAGTAGATGTGAAATCAGCCAATGGATGTGTTTTCTTGGTTGAGTTTAATTCTGTGTCTGAGAGGACTAGCAGCACGTGCAAGTTTGTTTGATGGACAGTAGGTGAGTAAGGATCAAGAGAACCAGCTGACAATATCCATTCACAGTCAGCCACCTGAAAGTGGAAAAATGAATTTTTCTCGGTTGGGTTGTGTTTTAGATAGACAGAATACCGGCTTACTATCAACTTTTCCCGTCCTGTGGACCCCGCGTTGTTATGAATGACGTAATATAGATCTATAGTTTATGATAGGAGGTGACGTGGAACTTAATATCGGTATTGTTGCCAAGTTTCCCCAAATTCAAGTGGAAAGGTAGATGCTTGTGATCTAGGTGCGAACATGACAGATACGGGGGCCGATCGCTAATTATTGGTACTTGTTATATATGCCCACGAGTACTGGACCGAGAAAGAACACGATAGCGTGGTTGGATGGAATCGTATATTTGCGCGGTCGTGCCAAGATACCAATGTGTTCCAGTTAACTGGCTAGAGGGGCCTTTGTGGGCAGTGCAGCTTAACACAACAGCGTGTCAAGTGGCACGGATGCTTGACCATGTGCCTTCGGCTTAGCGAGTCCAGCTAGACCACGAAGGTCGGCATCAATGCTGAATCTCGTCGGACCCTAGTTTATTGATTCTGGAGAAGTGAAGATGCTAAAGTGATAATGAAACTACACAGAGACCGGGCCTTGATGCTAAAAGTGTTGTTGTGAACCCAGAAGTCAGAAAAATATCAAGTGATGGAAACGCCTCACTTCATCGTGGGCAGTATGATAAAGTTTCCGAAAACTGACACAGCTGTATAAGTACGGCAAGACATGGTGTAGAGATGGTCGTGATGGTTCTACTGATAGCAGCATTTCGAGCGAATGTGGTTTCTTTAAGTGTAAACCGCATAGGTACGACTTACACAACAGATGCTTCGCACTAATCGATTGCTTCTGTTACTATTTGTAATCAAAAGTGACCCCATTCGCATTGTGTGTCTGTAGGCAGTTCGGAATGCTCCTGTTCGTGCTACTGAGGCTACAGCCAACGGAACATATATGTTTGCTTTAATGAAAGCAGAATGCACTGAATCCACATGTGCTGTCCCATCTGGCTCTTCATTCGACCGTGGTCACATTTCCGGTCTGTTAACCACTTTCTCACGTCCCTACTTGAGACTTCGGCGATAATCTGAGAAAAACTTGTCAAAGGAAATAACTGCAATCCGGAAGGAGCAGAAGCAGATATATTTCTAGTGGTGGTATCGGGGTACCAGGGTAGTCATGTAACCACGTTGCGTCACATGTCTTGTGCATAATTATTGAAGTCTGACAACTTATATTTCTTAGCTAGACAATTCTCCTGATAAGTAAGCGGCTCCCCAAATTAGCTGTTCTGCGCAATAAGCAATGTACCTACTCATGCTCAGATGTGCTCCCAGATTGATTGGGGCGATTTCTGACTCCATGTTTCTTTCGCTGTCGTCACCATCAATGATACTTTAAACAGTCAATAATGGCTTTGAACTCAGAATATTTTTGCTTTGGAAATGGCTCATAGGGCTCTATACCTGCGTCACAGCGAATTTTCTTTACACGGAAGGATCACGGTTGCTACTATGGTTTCAGAACTTAAAGGACGGGGAAACCACTTGTCAACACTCAGTCTTTTCTGATACCGATGCTATCCGCTCCATGTATGGGGAATGATAGCTTCTAGAGTACACCCTTTCGATGTCATAAGACTCAGGTGCACGTCCGACATCCTTTCATGAACACGAAGACAAAGAGCCAGAAAAGTTATGTGGGCAAGAAACCACAACGTTTTTGTGCCCCAGCTCCGGAAGAGTTAACTGGGATCTTTGTTTATGTCTTCGTGTTCCCAAGTCTCGAACGCTAACCTTTTAAGTTAGGTTTATGATTGAAGCTTAGGAGAGATCTGCAGGAATATGCTGGATCGCAGAAGATATGGCGGACGGTGATCATTCCTCCTGACACTTCGGCAGTGAAAAACTCGCCAATTTAAGGCTTCAAAACGAACTAGTGAACGCATACACAGTGAGCACATTTAAAGGCAATTACCGGGTTTCGTTATTCATACCTAACACAACCTTTTTTGTCATTATTACTACCAGTGAGCATGAGTAGCGCGCTAAGTAGTGCTACAGAGTAGGGTAAAAGGACATTTGAAAGAATGCTTAAAACTGTTTTGGGTAGGGGAGGTCATGCTACAGAATATGACTGGTAATTAAGGCAAAGAAGATTGAAGAATTTTTAAGTTGGGGCCGATACCCACTAGGTTAGGTGAAACCGAAGAAGGTGTAGACACTGACCGACGAACTAGTACATCATTTATCTCACACTTAGCCACTTTATCGGTACCTTAATGCTTTGTAAATGAATGGTTATCGCGCACTACAGAATGCTGTAAATAATCTTGAAGTTTATGGCCTTGGAATTCCCAAAGAACTCTACACTCTAAATTTCGGCTGGCGCCAACAAATAGGAACTCTCAGCCCGTCAACAAGCGCAACCAGCGTTTCTTTTTCTTTGATGAAGTAAGCGATTCCTTCATCCAAGGGGTGAGAGACTGAATTATACATCTGCTCGTCCACTATCATTAAAAGACAATTTGCTGCGCTCAGGGAGCCGATTTTCGGCGGTCCAATTTAACATTCCAGTAAGGTTCTCTTGGGAGATAAAGACACTCGTCGGCCCAAACAAATCCTAAGATTTACGTGTTATAGTGACTGAGAATTCGGAGAGGTATGTAATTCATGTGAATGACGCACTATAAAAAAGATGGAGCAGGAATGAGACCTTAGGGTGCCAAAGACTACCACCAAATCATCCAGTGTAGAGATACTTGTGGTAGGTTTTTTCCCAGGATTCTGATCAGATGCAGAAATTGACGACTTTCAACTGACATCTCTGTCTATAGCAATGAAGGTCGAAATGATGAACTTAAAACTCCACTGCTTCATGATATTACTCTCCATAGATTTGGCAGGTGAATATCTTATCGGCATCATGTCTTTTTAATCGACAAAGTGAAGCCTTCGGCTACCAGTGAATTAAGAAACGGATAAGTATTCAAAGTGAGATCGTTAGATGAGATACAGTTAGGGAATAGGTTTACTAGAGCTTGTAACAGAAAATGGGGTTCAGGAGCACATTCGGCTTACCATGAGGTATCAAAATTACAATTTACTTAGCAGTCGCAGTCTTATTCTTATTTACGGACGGAGATTGGACACTGTTGCTTATTGGACGAGTATTTATTTGTGACTATTGCGCGCATCTTGGTTGTTTGGTTTGTAGCGGCCTCGTAGTATGTTAGTTACCGTTTAGTATTAAGTAAAAGTACATCATATATACTTGCTGAGTGGTCGGCTCACATTTTTCTCTTCCTTTTTTCCCTTCTAGAGTTTCACCACTGAACTCATATGCCCCACTTCATGTAACAACGTACCGCCTATCTATTGGCTAGGCGAAATCCTATCAACAACTAACCGTTACAGGTTTTTGGTCCCGAGATAGAATTTCCTCTTTTTCTGTGAGTCGCCACTAACTCTTCCTAGCAGTTCAACTTCACATCCATCCTCACATTTTGTTCGAAATTTCTTAGTGTTGTCTCTCAGCCAGCATTAGCTTCGGGCGCACATTGTGAGTTTCGGGCTAAAACCCGAAAATTTTACTTCGGGCGACGCACGATATCCCTCGAATGTTCCAGACCTTTTCATCGAAAGTGTCCAAAGTCATGAAGTGCGCCTTAAGTTTCTGTATTGCGTCCAAAGTACCTAAGGTGTCTGTAGTGCGCCCGAAGATTTGTAATAACCCATGTCCCAAGTGATAAGAAGGCCTAATCCATAATATTTTTATCTGAATATTTGACGTTTATGTGCTACATGTGTTTATGCTACAGAAGTCAATAAAATGTTAGCGACCAAGTAAAATATTTGTAAAATTTAGGGGGAATACCCAAAAGTTGCTAAGTGCGCCCGAAGTAGCTTCGGGTGAAAACCCGAAAGTTCCAAAGAGTGCCCAAAGTAAATGCTGGCTGGGCTGTGGAGTTAACTACACAGAAGTGACATTAATATAAATTCATCCGTTGTACCTGAATTGTTAAATTGTTAAAGAACCTCTTAATTTCATCCCAACCGCTTCATTTGCAAAGACGGTTTCAGTTTGCTTATATATGCTGTGGTTTTTGGTATGTATTTTTGCATGTGTAAACGGCCTAAAAAGCCAAAAAGAGGACCTTGCAACCTTCGAATCGATAGGTCCTTTCTGCAAATAGCTTCATTCTTATTCATTTCATTAGGACCACGTAGCTGAGGCTTCCGTCTCCGTCATTCTTATGTTGCACAGAACAAGTAATGTTTCAGCTCTAAGGGGACGTCTTTTATGAAATTTCTTTTATACTCATGGTTGTGGCCTTCTCCAGGTTAGTTCCGACACTAGCAAAACATTAGGTTAGTTGTAGACGAGACTGAATGTCACGTTGAGTACCTTTCTTCAGCAGCTGACTGGAAGCATTTACGTCAACCTATCCACTTCGATTTAACAAAGCGCAAACCCGTGACGTCTGTTACTTGAAGGAAAAAAATAAGGCTACCCGGACAACATTTTTGCGGGGTAAGACAGGGGGCAAGTTAGTAATGACAATGATTTGACCCCTGTTTTGAAAATGTTGACTGGGTAGTAAAGTAAGAGGATCATAGTAACCAAAATTAATGTCTGTTGACAACGAAAGACGAGTTATCAACACGGATTAGGTTACTTGACTTGTCTCCAGGTTAGATTATCATATTCCACACGTGATATATAAATTTCATTCGCTGTAGTCGTATTCAGTAAGTTACACAACACATGTTCTCAGTAGGCATTATCATAATTTTTGGCACTTTCTAGGGATGTCTTCGCTCACTATCTTGCAAGTAGTTGTCCAAGACAATGTCATTATAAATTTTCCTCAGAGATTCTATGAAGAGACATCTAACTAGAGGTCCTAACTAAACGGTTCGAAACTGCTCTTCCTTTTGGGCAATACGATTATCGCATTCATTGGCATCATTTTTGGGGTATCATTCTACTTCTTGATTATAAGGTTTGGTGAAACTGCATTTGTAGTCAAAAATCGATCTACTATTTAAATTGTTTCAAATACACCTTATGAGTAAATTTGTCAGTATCGTAAGCATTGCTATAAACAGATGTTTTCAGTTTGGTGTTCGCTATAGCAGCCAGGTAGCATGGTAGCTGTTTTCGTTTCGTGCCTTGCTTATCAGTTGTGCTGCTTCAAACAAGGAGCCATCCGCTTTATTCTACTATCATACCACAAACAGTTGCAGCGCATAACATTGATGTAAATCATGTTCTCGAAAGAAATCTTGAGCTTACATTATGTAAACGTAGAGAAGCTTTGGGTGCTCATACTATACTGTCTTTGTGATGCCTCCGCATATAAGAATTCTTATCTATGTTCTGCTTGTTCTCCAGGTGAGCAAGTATCAAGTCAGTCCTAATAGTTAGAAGTCGGAAGTGTTATTTTCGAAAGCACGATATTGCTTAATAAAGCACAAGAAGATGAGCCCCTAGCAAATGTCGGGAATTCCTATACTGTTTTTTGATGGTGACTGGAGTTCAGCCGGTCATATTTTTGCCTAGTTTTACCCATGTCTTATTGTTTATCAGTCTTTATTTCTATTTAGCGCACCTAAACTGCTGCTGGTCATTTAGACGCACCCAAACCTGCCTAGTTTTCGGTAATCTTTACTTATCACATGCGTTCTGTAAACTTTGTTAGTCTGCCCTTATTGCAAGGTGTAACACTCGTTAGGTCTTTGTATTCAAGGTGCTTATGTTGGGAGCCAAAACTGGACAGTTCGTGCATCAGTTCATAAGAAGCTACACAAAACCATAAGCTTTCTCAAACTTCCTACTGCAAATTACTTCGCACAGGTTTCGCAAGGTGAATACGGCAGCAAAGTACGTACAGATGAATAGTAAAATATTTTTGTTTCACTACGGTAACACTCCAGAGACTTATCACTCACTGCAGGTAATAAGTGTCGATGTTTTTCACTGGCTGGTTAATCCCGCCGAATTAATGCACACCCATTGCTTTTTTGAACATCTCAAACAAATATCCACATATCCTTGCTAGCATCGTATTAATGTGTCTGCCACCTTGTGTTCTAGGTATTTAATGCGTTAGTTATACTCGTTCTGATAACTACTTTCTTTTATTTTTATACAGTAATAATCTGTAATATGCTTACTTTGCAAGCCCTGAAGGTTCTTAAACTTCAGCATGTTGCTCGGAAATGTTTATATACTTCGACATTACGTTATCAAAATCCCAATTCGAAAGAGCCGTTTCTAAATGGAACTTCATCCAACTACATAGAAGATATATATGAGGCCTGGTTGCGGAATCCTGATAGCGTTCATAAGGTATCTTACGAAACCAATTAGTGACCGTCAGTCTTGGGATGTTTATTTTAGATGCGTAGTTTCTGGGCTGCCCCAGGTGAAGCATACATCAAGCCACCCACTTTAGGTAAAGAACATATGAAGTTCCCTCATTTGGCTCCTCAAATCACTGGACAGGCAACAGGATTGAGTGTAAAATCCATTGAAGACCATCTTTCTGTGCAGGCTATAATTCGTTCATATCAGGTAAGTGAAAAGTTTTATGTTTTTTTTGTAAGCACAAATGGCGTTTTCGTGTATTGAATGAATACTGTTTCTATTTTGATTTACTAACTGAGTATTCACAACATAATCTTTTCCTATTGGTACCCAATAGGTAAATTATGTGAAGGCTGCCAGGAATCTGATATTAATCTCACCGTTAATAACCAACATGCGTAGATGAAGCGGTTAATTAAAAATAGTAGCTAAACTTACTGAAGATCATATTCAAATGGAAACATATTGAATAACATCCAGCCTGTGTGGAGCTATGACCCATTGTTTTATGGGGATGACTATCAACCAGTGAGTCATGGGTTCGAAACCCCTTAACCTACTGAAGTTTGGGCAACTAATTTATATCACTAGCTCTCACATAGTATGTGTGGCTAATTGCCTATTGCACGGGTGTGCACAATGTGGCTGAGTTAAACCTGCCCGTCGCATTCTGTACGTGTGGTACGTTTCATAAATGTTTAGATTTTCAAAAACACTTTGAAGCCTTATTTTCTTTAATTATGATTTTTGAAATGATTTAAATATTTCCATAATTATCACATAGTCAGCTGAGGTATGTTTCGACTGGACTGTTTTTAGTAGTTAATTGTTACCACATGAAGGTTTGATATCGTTCGTAATGACCACTACTCAATACTCAGAGCTGTTCAGCCGTATAAACATTTGAATCGTCGGCTGAAATTACCTCGTTTGCAGTTTGAAGAATCAACCACTGTCGCCTTATCTGCGACTCGCCGTCTGATTCACTGACTTTTACGTTGTCTCTGAGTCATGTTCATCATTTTGCAAATAAATAAGCTTGGAAATTGTTTCTGAGGAGGGACACCAACATTTCTTGCGAGAATCCAACCCTAGTTTATCACATCGCGTTTCTAGCGTATTTTGTAGAATTCAGGTCTGATTATATCAACTTCCTACTTACAAGTTCTTTAGTTCCATATTGGCACTGGATTTTGTAAACGAAAAGAAGTTTATCATTTCAGGCACTGTCGTCTGGATTTATGATGTATGGTTTTTCTCAGAGGTGTGCAGTTTTAATATTACTCCTGGAGATTGGTTGCATAACCAGTGGTCTTCTAATTTGCAGAGTACACACCCTCCTATTAACCGAAAGCTCCTAAAAGATTTTCAACCTGTCAAACATCTTGAGAAAGCCAAAAATTTGTTCACGGAACAAAATTGTATGTTTCCAACTTGGTCAACCCGTACACATAGTTGAAGTTTTTGGGTTTGTTGACTACTGCGTTCACACTGGAGAATACTTTGTTGACACATCAACAAATGTTTCTTTTCGCATTATATATGGTTATACGAAGCAAAGATTCCAGCCAAGAAAATTTCTCTTTGCAACGATTTCATCTTCAAAAACTGTACAATCGTATTTAGAAATAAATTGAAACGGAAAATAACAAACTTGTTTGTTCGTCTTTCGTCCTTGACTTTTAGTTCCCTATATTTTTCCAACTGATCCATGAAATATCCTCAACCATATTGATGCACTTTACGATTCCACTTATTTTAAAAATAAAATTGTCTCGAAGAGAAACTTTCTTCGCTGAAATCTTTGTTTCATGTCTAAATGGGGATTGTCAATTTAATATGGTTACCTTAAGGATTATACAGTCATTACAGTAAATGTTAAAACTGAATGACTTAAAGAGGTCACAGGAATCTGAAACCAAACGTCTTGTATCAATCGCACACATTGATCGTTATGATTCGTTTAAGAAGGATTGGTTGTTTTTGTTCGACGTTTCTTATAACGTTGCCAAATTATTCACGCTGAAGCACTTATGACTAAAAGGCCCTTCTGATATCATACTACTTGCACTTAGTGTTTTGCGATTGCCTTGTCACTCTATCCGTTGACACCCAAATTCAGTGGCCTCTTTAATTCAGTCATAATGCGTTGTTTTAAAACATTCTCATGTAAGTGTTACCCATTACCATATTGCGGTAGTTGGATTTTAATCAGAAAGTTCTGCAGGGTCACTTTGCTCTTGTTTCCATTTTTGTTTTCAACTTAAGAATAAATGCATAAGATTCATCGAGATGGTTTTAGTTCTTTTATATGGTATGGTATCATTCCAAGAGTTGGGAATTCATATCGTCACCAGGACCAACATTGCTGTATAACAGTCGAAGTTGCCACACAGGAATTCAAAACACCATATGTCGTGTGCCATCGAGTAACAGACACCCTTCAGAATTAACCATGTGAACTTAGGTATGGTTGGTGAACTGCACTGTAATTAAGAATAAGAAAGAGTTGTAAAGGAATTGGTAATGTTTCGAGTACTTGGAAATCTTTGTGTCTAACCTTTTGTGACCAATGTTTCTGGCAAACCGAATTTCATACATTTCGGTATGCTGGATTTCATAGTTCTTTTGAGTATTTCATTGTTAAACAGCATGTCACTGAATTGTCTAACTTTCTGTCGGTAATTTAGTCAAAATTATCGCAAATTGTATTGGTGCTTGATAAAATATTTGAAGCGTTATTCAGTCTCTAGGTCATCGTATCGCCAATCTTGACCCTTTGGGCATATTATCTGCAGATTTGGACGATTCTATACCCCCTGAGTTGTCGTTGGGCTTCTACAAGCTTGGTAGGTTGGTTATAAGAACTTTTCCACTTAAAGATATCTCATTTTTTATTCCATTTTTATCTTCAATTCTTTGCGTGTCTCGTGTGTATGTCAGGTGCGTGGTCATCTTGCCGCGAACTTAGACCCATTAGGTATTACTTCTCCAGAACCGGACAAAGCCCGATACATTGTTTACCAGAGGTTCCTAGGTGAACGAAGTAAGTCTTGTCGATGCATAAGGTCAGCGTTGTTCAATTCTGGTTTGTAATTTCGTTTGGAGTTGTTTTGTGTTCATATCGTTTCCTGTTGAGATTAGTGCTAATTAATTTTGCTAATAGATTGTTGATAAGAAGTGTGACATGAGTGGCTTGTTTTGTATTACTGTACTTCTCTAGCTATGACATCGAATAATCTTAGCTTAAGTTTCGGAAAGGGTTTGACCTTTTTCTGTGGTTTAGATAAAGCACTTTATGTTCAACACAAAGTTTATGTATTCCAGACATCTAGTATCAGGTAATATACTGTTTCATAGTTTGATGTTTCTAATTTAACTGTAATGATTGTGTCCAAAAGGCTAACCCATATATTCGTGGTTGAATTGCATGCATCGACCCTACTACATTACTGTGATATCTTATTGTCTATAGTGGGGAAGATTCAGTAGTTTTCAATGTATAGTGAAAATTGAATGTTAATCGTTACTTTATAAGCATTTTGAAGTTACTGTTGTATTTTTTTTCGAACGTTGTAATGCAGGTGCATGTGGGCATGTGCTTTTGTTCAAATTTTACTTTTACTCTTGCGACTGACTAATTTTCATCAACTTTTCGCTTTCATAGACGAACCTGACTTGGATAAGACGTTTAGATTACCACCTACTACTCACATCGGGGGTGACAAACATGAACTTACTCTGCGTGAAATAATCAAACGTCTAGAGGTATGGTTTCTTCAATAACTTTTTTGAGGTATATAGTCATGGGTGTTCATTGATTTCATGCCCTCAGTGGTGTATTGTAACATTATAAAATGGATATTAGCTTCCCAGTTTTAACTATATAGTTTCTCAATACCGGTCTAATGCATAAGGGAGAGTGAAATTCCCTTTGTTGGTTGTGTATCTGCTTAAGATTTATGTGAACTGTTACGTCAGCCAATTAGGATGATAAGGTAAACTATTCACCAACTCAGTTTCAAACAAACGAAAGGAATAGCTAGTGTTCAAAACAAAATCTATGATATATAATGTGTCTGGATTGTGCAAGTGATAGCGGTCTCTATCATCGAAAGGTGGTGAGCGTGTCCATCATAAACCTATTCTATTTACCCCGGTCTTTTGCGGACTAAATACTTGGAAGTTTTGTTATCAGTGGATGTAGTAATGTTTGTACAGTAAATATGGGTGGACTAACCATGTTTAGCTTCACTGAGAATAATTTATAGACTGACTTCGTTTCTTACGTGAAAATTAAAGCGTAATATAGTCTACTTTCTAACTTTATATCTGAAATCAGCAAACTTTTATGTATTGTTGTCACTTGGACATCAGGTTAAATTTTATTTCTGTGTTGTTACTGTAGGAAGTATACTGCAAGCACATTGGCATTGAGTACATGTTCATAAATAGCTTGAACAAATGTGACTGGATAAGACGAAAATTTGAAACACCTGGTTCAATGAGCTTTACTGCGGAAGAAAAACGTTTAATATTAGCCCGCCTCATCCGATCGACAAGATTTGAATCATTTTTGGCAAAAAAGTGGAGCTCAGAAAAGCGTTTTGGTCTCGAAGGATGTGAAGTATTAATTCCGGCAATGAAAGCTGTTATCGATTCTTCATCTACTCTTGGCGTCGAAAGTTTCGTAATCGGAATACCGCATCGGTTTGTTGTTCTGCTTTTTCTCCTGAACCTAGACTTTTAAATTTTCTTACAATTTCAGACTGAATCAAATATTTGTAGTTCAGGTTGATATTTCGGTCTCAGCTACACTCCCTGAGCTGGGTGGTTTAAAAGTAAGCCTTCCGTTATAATCATCTTACTGAATAGCAGTGGAATCCAGGACCCACGCTTCGTCCTATTTGGGACTCGTCAGCTAGGTGTATGTGCACCGCAGTGAGTGATGTTGCTCCCACTGAAACTCGAACCCAGTACCCATCGCCGCAAACGCAAACGTTATCCACTAAGCCACTGGGGCATGATAGCCACCTCTTGTGCTACGGGTGTCAGTTGTTGTTCTGACACTTGTAATTTGCTGCTGCTACACAGAGCCGAATTGCTCAACCTCTGCTTCTATTGTTATCGACTGTCTGTTCAAACTTTAGAAAGAATTGAGGTGTGAGGATTTCCCCATAGTTACCTCAGTATCTTGCCTTAATGACTAGCAGTTAAGCACCACCACCTGTTTTCCCTAATGTGTCAGTACATGTGGTCAGTTATGAACATGAATTCGAATGGCAAAGTTTGAAAATCTTGTGGAGGAAACCCAAGGAATACTAGAGAATTTTAGGATTTTGATACTCAATTCAAACAGCAATGAGGCTAGGTAGTTTTCGGTAGAAACAGCAATGTGTAGGCACGTCGATACTAACTGAATCTATCGGTCAATAAAATCGAAGTTCAGAGCGACAGGGCAATCAACGAAAATATCTGAGGACAACGACAACAGTCAGTCTCGTCTTAAACCATGAGGTTGAGCTACCAAGCGATTTATAAAAAATTCTCTTAGCTCACTTCTTCATAAAGTTTGTGCAGATGACATTATCTTGAATGACCGAAAGCTTTAATATCTAACCACCTAACACTACAAAAAACTACAACTAGTAAAGTTGCTGGTTATATACATAGTAAACATTTAGGTGATTACCTGCTTTTGTGTTGTTAAACAAGACAATCTAGTCATTGTCTTGATTGTATTTCATTAAGAAGTATAGCTTTCCTGGTGTTTAGTTAGAAATCGTTCCGTAATCAGTCGGTGGTTATCACAATCGACAGGAGAACTGCTTTATACCCACAGCACGAACTTATAGGTTGCTTGTCAATTCTCCCATTATTCACTGACTACTGTTTGTCTGATATGTATCTCAAAGTTACCCTATCTCGATCACATCCTTTTTTGTATGTCGGGGGCTATTTTACTTCAAGATTCTGTTCTAGATTATTATTGTTCATAATGATATGGCTAGTTGACGAATAATCCAGTCTTTTGATGTTCACTTGGTTGAACCTTTGGGAACGGTCATCATTCAACCATAGCGAACCAACAGTATTCAGGTTGTAAGCTGACATTATCGAATTAGGTCACTGCGTAGTATGTTGGTAGCTAGAAATCAGTTAGTATTTATGCCTACAGTTATACTGAGCATTAATGCGAAATGGAGATTGTTACCTGCTGCAAAGATTCACAATCACTATCTAGTTGTCGAAAGTGTTTCACAAAGCATTTTTGGCTCAATGTTATTTTGGATGTTTCTGCAAACCTGTGAAAGATTTTCGGCACAAAAAGTTATCTATTAATATTTCATTCTGAACACCACACGGCTTTATACTAACATTCAAATTTCTTTCCATCAGTTATATATAAGCTGTAATTTCATTCAAATAAACTTTTGGGTTTTTTGAATGCTTTTTTATCCTGTGTTTTATCTTTTGGAGAAATTCGTTTTCTGTTTTGTGTTTTCGGTTGTCTCTTTTTCACTACTTTAACTGGTTAAATAAATGCCTGCAGATGTACTACTTGTGAATAAATTTCTAGTAACATAATTGTACCAGTAATTGAGATTTTTGTACCTGATTACATCAAACATTCTTAATCTTCTTTATACCACTCATCAATGTCTGCCTCGTAGTTTTTTTTTTCACGTGCTGTAACACACTATAAGACTCTCACCATGCAAAAACTGATAGTTATTCGTGTGAAAAACATTTAGTTGCCGCTTGTAAATTAATGACTTCTATAATTCTTTGAACATGTTTCCACTAAAAGGTTAATTCATGCATCCGAAGAAATTTATCTACTAATATTCGAATTCAATCTATTAACGTGAACGCATAAAGAACGTAACAAAAACTAATTGAAAAGCGAACAAGATAGTTATCTTTATAGTTGTTTTTGTTACTTCAACCACACGTGTGTAATAACCTGACAGTATAGTATGGTTTTTTATGCGCAGAGTGTGTTAAGCTAGTGGATCCGATAAAATTTTCGGGTCAAATCCTTCTCTTTGTTCACTGGATATTTAACAACTTAACTTTAGATTAGATTCCTTTCAGTGAAATTATTTACACTCTTACTATTCTTAAAACTTAGTTCCGACATTAGATTATGCAGTCACCCACTTATAGTATATGTCTTAGGTTGACAGTCGCATATATTTTCTCACATATATTTGTCACTTATTATCCTCAATATTGTTTGCTGTGACTTACTTAGTACATTGTTCAGGTCAGTAGTCATACATAAATCTGATTTTTGGCTTCTTGTGATGGGGAATTTACGCCAGTTTATGCGCTTCGTTACGCACATTACTATACTTACTTCCTTCTTCAGATGTTTAGAACTACGAGACTAGTTTCTCACCTTAAAATTCAGACTACTTTTTATATGACCAGTAATTCTTCAGTGCACTATTAATCTTACATTTTCAGTGGGAGGTTGAATGTTCTGGCCAATGTTTGTCGTAAGCCGTTGGATGATATATTTTGTCAGTTTGATTCGAAATTGGAAGCATGCGATGAAGGCAGTGGTGATGTGAAATATCATTTAGGCATGAGCCATCAACGTTTAAATCACATGACAGGCAAGATGATCAATATCGCAGTGTGCGCTAATCCAAGTCATTTGGAAGCAGTCTGTCCAGTTGCTCAGGGTAAAACAAAAGCCGAACAGTTCTATCAGTAAGGATAGTTTTTGTTATTATTTCCTTTCATTAAATATAGAAGTTTCTACACTTATAATCAGATATAAAAAATAACAGGTAATGCTGTGATAACCTCCAAACAAATTGATCAGCACACTTAGTTTAAGGTATACCGAAAAAGCTAGTTTAGAAGTGTTTTCTTTTGCAGCTTCCCCGCTCTTTAAATTTAGGGATTTATGCTTGTATCTTACTTCGTGCGATTTTCATTCAAATGTCAACTTATAGTCTGTCAGAATGTAGGTGAACTAGTTGATAACTAGCTTTTGTTATTTCGCTATGAATCAAACACAGGTCTCAGCTACCGAAAATTTCTAAACATCTTCAGGAAAACAGTCAGATCGCTATAAAACCTTTACTCTTTTTTATTTGCCTTCCATTCACCGTTTTGAATAGTCTCCAGCCATAATGTTTTTCGCGAACCCCAGTCACTCTTTCATTTACAGACGTGGCTGATTATCTCCGCTTAAATAGTGAGTACAGTGTTCAACCATGATCCCAACCTCACTTGAGTCTTCTGTCACTTTTCTACGAGTTACTGCCTCTCCAAAACAGGCTCTTATCGTGACAATACTCTTTAACTACTAGAAGGTTACTACTGCTTGAAGACTCAATCTGAAGTTGTCTATAGATATGGTGAATACTTGTGATAATCTAATAGGTTTGCTAATCGTAATTAACTGAAAGGCAAAATGTATACGAGATCTTGACTTAGTTGTAACTCGAGAGTGTTTTTACCTTACCTCCACTGCCTCTTTTACTAACGGAAGTTTAAGCTGTTGGAAGAATGCTTCTGATCTTACATTGTCACACCTGTTCTGGTAGATGATGCAAAAGTAACATCAGTTAAGGTATGATGAGCTCCTTATTTATCTATCTTTCATCTTACTGCATTCTCGCTTGGTGCACTGATATGAGTTTTTGCAACTTGGGCTGTTACGCAGTAATTCCAGGTGCCGTGTTTATGTTGGTTGAGTGGCTGTTCTTAATAAAAGAAAGTACCAAAATGTCATTATCATATAAGGGAATCAAGCTACATGAAACAACTTCGCTGATATGCATACTAAACTGACACAAGTCATTAAAGTGGCAGCATTTTACTGTCGTTTAGGTATTAGACACCGAAAGACAGGTAACATAAAACAGAATGCATGTTTCACTTTTGTTGGCATTATAAATAAGCTATGTATCCATCATCATGTTTCCTTTTACACTCGGATCCAAGTTGCTCGGCACCGTGATAAGAGATGTTATCAATCGGCTATTTAGACTGCAAGTGGAGATTTTTGTACTCATGAGTTCGGTTATATAACCACAAAGTTACATAAGTTGTGTCAGGAGGTAGTTGAAGGCAAAAGTTGTGTTGCAAGTGAACCACCCTCGAAACCTTAGTTATGATTTGAAAGCTGATTAAAAATCATTTTTAAACTTCTGTCATTATTAGAACTAGTGTTTTACATTTACCTTTGGTACCCTCAAGAGTTCTTTCTTGATATATTTAATTGTAATTAGCCTGTTTATGTGGTCATAAATAAGACTAAACATAGATTCAACATCAATTATTTGATTTTCCTAGTTGCAGAAAACTCGAAAAAGTACTGGGAAGAAGTTTAAACTCAAAGGAGTTAAGTGTGGTAGTTAGTGAGCAAACAGATAATTAATTTCCTTATTAAGGATCATGTAAACAAAGTAACGAAGGAAAATACGTAAAGATAAAAAGCAACAATGCTGAGGTTATCACACTAGATTGTTTTATCACTTGTGGAGAGATTATCAATAATGCCTCCTCATTTTGAGTTTTGTGCCGATTGTTTATTATGATGATCGTATTACTGACGCAGCACCGAAAGTCTGGAAAATGAAGTATTGGAAATATTGTCAAAAACAAAACATCATGAGAGTTCATGTATTTTACCAATCGACTACCCGACCGATAGCTGCTACCTTGACGTGGTGGTCGGGCTTGCATATCACAATGACCCAACGAGCTATGCTGGTGGAACGCTTGTTCCCTCGAGGTCCTACCATACCAGAAAGGTCTGTTGGGTAGTGGTTAGACGAAAAGCAGTTACCGTCATAGTGTAAATTGCTATACTATGATGGGGGTCTGAGGGCGAAGTCGTACTGCTGCTAGCTGGATGGGGTGTGACAGCAGTAAGGTGTTTCCCTTGGATGACCAGCAGTGCCAAGCTGATGCTGCCTTCTCAGTGGAAGGGGGGGTTAGAAAAGGTCGGCCCCAAAAATAACACACTCCACCACGCCCCACGGTCTGCCGGGCCGGCGGTGTTGGTTCACTTGTCGTTTCCTTTCGCTCATCCGGCCCCAAAAATACAAAAATTCAAAATAATCATACTCAAAAGGCTGGGTGTGACAGGCCTCAAGCAGATGTCCGATGGGCTCTGCGGTCACACAAATCTCTTTCAGGTACCTTAAGAAGAAATAGCCTTCCACGGTGTGGGCAGCCGGGAAGTGTCAACCGCCCTCACAACTCTGTCAGCACCCAAGTTTCTTCTGACTGCTATCCTCCTCCTCCATCATTACCTTCTAATCTTCCTTCACGTCTCTTAATTAATGATGCTGCATCATCTTCAATTTCTCCTACCTCTGCAGCCTTCGACAACGATCTGAGTCCACAGAACAGTGTCCCTGGTCTCCTTAAACCACGCTCCAAATTACATATTGGAGCCTTCAATGTCCGCACCCTCCGTCAAATTGGCCAACAGGCTTCGTTGGCAAAGACTCTAGCAACTCGGGCATGGATGTGTGCTGTGTTTGTGAGACACGCATACAGGACCCAAGTGTGGTTATTCACCTGACCTCTCCTGACCAATCTGGTGAATCTGCAAAATTCACCCTTCGAGTTTCTGGAGATTCGATAGCTAGCTCTCGTGGTCTTGCAGGTGTAGGTATAGCATTAAGCACCAGGGCAGAAAACTCACTACTAGACTGGATCCCAGTTGATAGTCGCCTCTGCGCTATGAGGCTGAACGGCACAGTGAGAACTAAAAGGAATAGTGAGACTCGCCGTTGTCTCTTTGTAATCTCTGCTTACGCACCCACTGACTGTAGTTCGGATGAAGTGAAGGACGAGTTCTACCATAAACTGTCTAACCTCCTCTCGAAAGCCAAACGTTCGGACGTAGTGGTTGTTGCAGGTGACCTCAACGCACAGGTGGGTAGACTGAGTGAGGCAGAAAGGCACTTAGGTGGCACTTTCGGAATCCCAGCTGAACGTACAGATAACGGTGATCGCCTATTACAACTATGCTCAGATAACCGCCTATTTTTAGCCAGCACAAATTTCAGACATAAAGAAAGGCACTGTCTGACCTGGCGTCCACCGAGCTCGACTCAGCGATGGACACAGATAGACCACATTGCTATTAGTCATCGCTGGAGAGGATCGGTGGAAGACTGCCGCTCCTTCTGGAGTACGTGTTTGGACAGCGATCATGCGTTGGTCCGAGCACGTATATGCCTGCGTCTCAATGGACGTAGAAAAAATTTGGCAACAAAACCACTACGAGTTCTGCTGGACAACGAAAACACCAAAGCCGTGTTCAGTGAGAAGTTGGCTAGGCAGTTATCGGAACAAAAGACTGTCACTCATCCAGAAGAAGCTTGGTGCCATCTTCAGTCTACTGTAAAAGCAGCACTGGAGACTGTAGCCGACTCCAAGATAATGGCTAAAAAGAGCCAGTGGATATCAGCAGCTTCTTCCAAACTAATGGATGCACGTGAATGCATCCCTGCAGGCTCTGAGTACAATGAAGAGCGAGCGCAACTTAAAAATAAACTGACGAAAAGTCTGCGCAACGATCGTGAACAGTGGTGGGCAGCAAAGGCTAAAGAGATGGAAAAGGCAGCGGCGATCGGTAACAGTAGACAGTTATTTAGACTTATTAAGGAGACTGGGGGGAAATGGTCAACAACAGTTAGTGAGGTTATAGCGGAGAAGGACGGATCGGCGATTCACTCGCAGGGAAGGCGACTGGGACGATGGGCAGAACACTTTGAGGAACAGTTTAACTGGCCTCCAGCCACCATTGCGCTGCCCGCTATCCAGTCGGACCCTGAATGGGACATAGAGACAGGTCCCCCAACACTAGAAGAAGTCGAGAAAGCGGTAGGTAGCCTGAAACGGGGAAGGGCAGCAGGACCAGACGGACTACCTGCTGAGGTATACAAGAATGGTGGTAGAGTTCTCTTAGTCAGGCTAACGGAAGTGTTAGCCAGTATATGGGAATCAAATACGATCCCCTCCGACTGGTCTAAGTCACTGATCATCCCAGTCTTCAAGAAAGGCGAGAAGTCCTCTTGTGATAACCACAGAGGAATCAGCCTGACAAACATAGTGTCTAAGATCCTAAGTTCTATAATTCTCCGACGCCTGAGTGGAGCTCGGGAACAGCAAGCCCGAGAAAACCAGGCAGGCTTTAGACCTGGCCGTGGATGTATCGACCAAATATTCACACTGCGCCAGGTCCTGGAACATAGGCATGCTTACAGACGCCCGACAATAGCTGTATTTCTCGACCTGAAGGCGGCATTTGACTCCGTTGATCGAGAAGTCTTATGGCAGTGTCTGTCACTGAAAGGCGTGCCTAGTAAGTACATCACCTTATTGAAAGCTCTCTACTCGAACACTTGTGGGCATGTTAGAGCCTATGGTGAGTTGTCCAGGGAGCTATACTCATCAAGTGGTGTCCGTCAAGGATGCCCACTATCCCCATTCTTATTTAATTTTATCATAGATATTCTTATGGAGGTTTCCCTCTCGTCACCTAATTACAAAGACGTTGACCGGATCACAGGTGAATTTTCCTTAGATCTAGAATATGCAGATGACATAGTCCTGTTAGGTGAAGACGCTGACAAGATGCAGAGTCTTCTGAACACTTTGAGTGGGAATTTGAGAATGTTTGGGATGCGATTTTCACCACCCAAATGCAAATTTTTGCTCCAGGACTGGTCTTCAGCGGTACCGCGGTTAACAATAGAGAGTGAAGTGGTTGAGTGTGTTGACCACTTCACTTACCTGGGAAGTAGGATCAACTCCGGTGGGTTAGTTGCCGATGAGATTTCTGCACGGATACAAAAGGCTCGATTGGCTTTTGCCAATTTGCGCCACCTATGGCGCCGCCGTGATATTCGTTTGTCTATTAAGGGTCGCGTGTACTGCACAGCAGTCCGCTCTGTTCTACTGTATGGCTGTGAAACATGGCCATTGAAAGTGGAAGACATGAGAAGGTTACAGGTATTTGACCACCGTTGCCTTCGTAGTATAGGACGTATTCCGTGGTGTCACCATGTGAGTAATGCAGAAGTTAGGTGTAGAGTTTTAGGGAGAAGAGGTAAGTCAGTCGACGAGGTTGTGAACCTTCATCGACTGAGATGGTTGGGACACGTACTACGTATGCCTAGTCACCGATTGCCTCGTCACACAATGTTGGCTGAGGTGGGTTCAGGCTGGAAAAAGGCCCGAGGTGGCCAGACTAAAACATGGCACCAATGTATGAAGTCTCTGACTGTTGGTTTAAGCCATGTAGGACGATGCAGACTAGGTGGTTGGGGTCCACGGGACAAGAGGAACCAGTGGTTGGAGACCCTAGGTGATATGGCTCAGAACCGAAGTCAGTGGCGCAGATGTATACACACATTATCCTCATCTTAACAACGCTATACCGAATCTCACTATTTTGTCACTCCTCTTTCCTTTCTTCTCATACTTTATATTTCTTTTGACTGCATTCACTTATCTTCATCCTTCACCTCACTACCTTTTTACTTGATGTGCTGATATGAGGTGTGGCAACTCGGACCGTTACGCAGTAATGCCTGGTCCTATGTTGATAATGATGATGATGACCAATCGACTTCGTTTAGTCGCGCACAAAATTAGTCCCCGATTGCCTGTGGAACAACAACGTCGTCTAGTGGTGCTGCATTTTTAATCTTATTTGTTTTGGTCTTTGAGATTTCTACTCAGTTTTAATGAAGATTTGTGTGAATTATTATGTAGGTAATTTTCCATATAGCCCCGTCGTATTTAAAAAATCAAAGATTTTTTCTGAACGCTTCTCTGTGTACATCGTGGCTTCTTCAACTACTGATTTCAAGGTATTCATCGCGAATTGACATCGATTGTAGAACCACTGAAAACCTGTGGGCAGTGGGGAGCTGTCTCTTCCTAGTACGGAACTCCTCAGCAGTTTGCACCCACGACCCCGCCAGAGACTCAATCCAGGACCATCAGGTGTTACAGCAAGCACACCAATCTCTCAACCACTGAGTCGGGATCCAATGGTCCACACTGTTTTACTTCTATCGACCGCGATATAGCACGACCAACTTCCAGTGCCGTCGCTGAGTATTTGTCCTCACATCCGACTTGGTTTGCCCTCATAGATCATGACTCATTAGAAGTTCAGGACATCTCATCTCAAAGCATGCCACCAATAAGCACCGGATGGTATCTCACTTCAACGGCTTGGGATTGATTGAGTGGTTTCTGCAGAAGCAATGGTATGCATAGCGAAACGTTCAGAAAAATCTTGTTTTGATTTTCTAAGCGCACTGGGATTATTTTAAAACCTACATAATGATTAAATCAGGCTCGGTGCTCGAATTCTTCCAGGACATTCGTAACAAATATGAACTAGGTATTTATGATGCCTGTAAATGTTTGCTCATTGACTTATCCCTACTACAGTGTTGTCTAAGGGTGAATCATGTTCGCCTAACCTAGTTCCTTCTTCATGAATTATCTGTAAAACAGTCGCTAATGTTTATCCTCAGTGATTTTACGTACTGTAGTTAGTTGTTTTCGTAAACATTTCTGTGACTCACAGGACTAAGTTATACTTCTACCACGATATTTCATAGTCATTTACTACTACAGAATTTAAACTTGACCAATACTAAATCGGAGGTGGGAATGTTTAATAAAATCCACTCCTGTACTTGAACTCATGCAATTCTTTGCTCCCTACATCAAGTTTGTCAAGCTTAAGAAATATCTTCTTGCATACAATCGATTTTGTATGGTTTTCATTGTTTTTTATGCCTTAGAGGTGATACTGATGGAAAGAAAGTTATGTCAATCTTGATTCACGGAGATGCTGCATTCAGTGGTCAAGGTGTTGTTTATGAAACCTTTCATCTTAGTGATCTGCCTTCTTATACAACTAAAGGTTCCATCCACATTGTCGTAAATAATCAGGTAGGTTAGTTCTGAATAAAGCATGCTTAAAATTTTACGCAGTCGCAAATATATTCATAAATTCTGTTTGGTTGCTTTAGTTATGTGAGCCCTGTATCTATATCTAATGAAATTCTAATTACATCTTCATTTTTTTAAGCCAATGTTTTTAAACAAGAATGCAAACGCTCAAGCAGTAATTTCCTCTGTTTGAGTTCTTGGACAGCTTTTGATGATAATAACTAAGATCCTGTTAAAGCCTTCTTTCCAAAATGTATAACAAGTTTACCATTGTAATCAAACACCATTATTGTTGGAACAACAGAAACTGTTTCATACTTTTTAAAAAATTATGTCTCATTGGTTTAAGGAGTTAACTTTCAACCAGTGGATCGCAGATTCGAACGACGCTGCACCTACTGAGGTCTGGTCAGCCAGTTAGTATCATTGGCCTTCACATAATGGAGGCGACTCATTGCCTACTGCACGAGTTTACACAAGGATACTGAGTAGGTTTCGGCTCGCTTGTTTATGGTTAATTCCTAATCGTATAGTTCACACTTGTAGTTAATGCAAATTCGTATGGGAATCACGTAAATTATTTGTAAACTTTCAGTGAGATTGATTTAAACTTTTAAAAGCTGTTTTTAAGGACCACAGGAACTGTCCGCTTCTCATCTCTACCACACAGTATCATTATTATCGTTCTTAACATATGAATTTATATTATTAATCTTTCAAATATCGTCCTGTAGGTCAGGATTAGGAAAAAAGCACTTTCTTGAATAGATTTTCATAATTGAAACGAAGTATTTATTTATTCACTTTTGCCTGGATAACCATTCAAGTAACAATATATTTCTCAGCCTGAAATTTGAAATAGTTCGTCGCCACTCTCTCTCTCTCTCTCTCTCTCTCTCTCTCTCTCTATATATATATATATATATATATATATATATATATATATATATATATATATATACTAATCAGGTCACAAGTTCGGATTCTATCTTATATACCTAAACTCAGGAAACCTGATACTATCACTATCCTCTACATAATGGATGTTTCACAAATTATTACATCAATCTCTACATGGTCACTGAGTCACTCATCGACCACTAATCATTTAGTCACACACTACTACAGTAGGAAATTTGTTCACATAAGTGCCTTAGGTTAATTACAACAGGTAGCTATTTTTGAGAACTATTTTAGGTAAGGAAGTCAGTCAACTATGTAATTTCTTGTATTCGTTAGTCTCATAAAATCTAAAACTTTATAAGCGTTCGATTCTCAGTGAATCATTTGTATCATGCCACGCTCAAGTGAATAATCCCACCGAGAGCTGCTATCATGACGAAGTGGTTAGGCTTGCATATCACAATGACCCGACAAGCTATGCTAAGGAAGCGCTTGTTCTCTTTAGGTCCTGTCATATCAGAAACGTCTATTGGATAGTGGTAAGCAGTTAGCCTCTTAGTGTTAATTACTACCTTATGATAGGGTCCAAATGCGTAGTCTTCCTGGTGTTGGGACAGTTATTTGACGACAATTAGGTGTTTCACATGGATGACCAGCAGTACCATGCTGACCATACCATACTTCACTTGACCTCACTCGGTCAATATGGTGAATCCGTAAAATTTACCGTCCGAGTTTCTAGATATGGTTACTTCTCACGGACTTTTAAGTGTCGAAAATCCACGTGCACTCTGTAACCTTGTCCGACTCCGTTCAGTAGGTAATGATCCATACCTATTGTGTGGGGGCCAGAGATACTACTTGGCTGCCCAAATCTCGGTAGGCTGATTGGGTTTCAAAGCAGTGACCCATCGGTTGAAAGCCATCTCCCTAAACCAGTGAGCTGCAGCTCCACTTCTTGTATGTGTAGGCATATACTTTCAGTAAGGGGCTAAACAGTTTTCGGTGGGAGTCATCCTTCATTTCATTTGAACTGCAGTCAGTAGAGATTATAAAGAGACAACGACAAGCTTCACCTCTCGTTTAGTCCCAACTGTGACCTTCCGTCAACTAGAGTGTAGTTGACCAGTGCACTCTTTGCCTTACCACTTAACACTTTATCTTGTATGTTTAGGCGAAGTATCAAGTGCTAAGGCAGAAAGTGCAACTGAATTTCAGTGCACAGTCTACTGAATGGCAGGGTAAGGACTGAAATGAATAGTGAAACTCACCGTTATCTCTCTGCAATCTCTACTGACGCATCCACCGACTACCATTCGAACAAAATGAAGGATGATTTCTATCGAAAACTGTCTGGCCTCTTCCACAAAGTCAAACCTTGAAATGCGGTTTTTGTAGCAGGTGACTTCGAGGTGCTGGTGGTTAGGTTAATCCAGATTGAAGGGCACTTAGGTGACACTTTCAGAGTGCAGCCGGACGAACAGATGATGGTGATTGCGTGCTCAAACTGTGCGCAGAAAAGATTAGTCATATAAAGAGAAACCAACTGGTATATAAAAGTTTGAGTGTCGAATTTCATAAGGAACAGAAACAAAACTGGGAAATGAGACATACGGAACAGTGGATATAATGTAGTGACAAATCGTTGTAAAGCCTTAGCAATTTCACCAAGCGTTCGCCATTGTTCATAAACATGTATTTTTTTGTTGTTGTGCTATCGCTCTACACGTGTGAATTTTTTATGTGGTATACTTTCGTTTACCTGGTGAAGATGTCAATTAGTTTTCGTTTTAGCGTGTGAAGACTTTCCCAAACGTTAAATTAAACTAATCCTGACTGTTCATATAGAAATAATTTTCAAATGTGTATATTCGTAAGTGTTGAAGTTTCAGTTCCACACTAAGTGTAACATCTAGCTTCAGTGTTTTGAAATCTCATTAACCACAGTGCCACTGTTCACCTTCTTGTTCGAATATTTACTCAGATTGGCTTTACTACTGATCCTCGTATGGCTCGCTCATCACCATATTGTACTGATGTGGCACGAGTAACCAATTCACTCATACTCCACGCTAATGCTGATGATCCTGAATCGGTTATGCATGTCGCGAAAGTCGCTGCAGAATGGCGTTCGGAATTTGGTAAAGATGTTGTTATCGATCTTGTTTGTTATCGTCGTTCAGGCCATAATGAAATGGATGAACCAATGTTTACTCAGCCACTCATGTATAAGCGTATTCGTCAACAGCCAACTGTATTGGAACAATATAGTAAAAAACTAATTGGTGAAGGGATTGTCTCTGAACAAGAATACAAGGTAATATTTATAATGATTCGGTATTTTCTATATTTGGCCATTATCTTTATTAGTGTCTTATGTATGACTCGGGTATTTTATGTTATCGTTTGCATACAAACAGCTGTGGATCTATAGCTCACTGATCTAGACATTCAACTTTCATCCTACTGGTCCCGGATTCGAACCCCATTCCATCTACCAAGGTTTGGACCACCAGGTAGTATCACTAACCCTTATATAATAGGTCTAGCTATCGACCGGTGTATAAGCATGTATTTGTTTGAGGAGTGAGATTCACGTACACTACTTTTAAAGTACTCACGGTAATTCACACATATTGAACAGAGTTCTAAATTGTGGTTAGTATCCAGAAAAAGTAATGTTTCGCTTACATGTGCCTAAATCTATTCTTTCCCCTCACTATGAGTGCAGAAAGTCTTAACTGACTGGTTAATTAAATATGTTAACTGGCATATTTGCAAAGTGTACATCATTAGAAATACTGTACCGTACTTCACTTTTGTAATGATTTGTTAATAAAATGGTTTCTTTTTGGTGGAAGTGAATAACCCACAGTGTTGATCGGACACTAGATTTTCATCTTGCCCTTATTTAGTATTTCGACTCTAGGTTATATATTAAGTTTGTTAAAGAAGGAGGTTTTCATAGTAAATATTGAGAAAATATCAATCACTTTCAGAAATGAAGAAATTTATGAATGTGAGAAATTCCTAAAATTCACTCAGTGTAAGCAGGTATGCCTTACAACAGCGTATTCGACTACCACTCTCTGTCAAGTTGCTCGTATCCGGTGGTAAAACTCTGACTTACAACAGGGCCTTATTTAGAAGTAATGGGGATGGCTATTCAGTAGGCAAAATGACCTTGAAACTTCGGCGAATTAAACGCTTATTACTCATGTTTCCACACGGTACAATATTTGCTTGGTTCACGGTCGGTCAAATAGAGAGCAAGGATGAACAGGATCCAAACAATTATGTTGCGACTTAAAACCATTCCAGATAATTTGTCACTCTGTCTTTCAAATTCATTCCAGTGTGAACTGATATGGCTTATTGACTTAGGTAGTCGGATTTCAATAAATGATTTCCTAGTTTGAACCCCTCTTCACTTTGGCATAGGGGACTTGGTAATATTATATGCTGTCACAACAAGTATGGTTCAAATTCTGGTGTATAAACGCATGTCAGGTTTAGTTACTGTATGTAATTCTTTTAGGTCCAAAAGAACTGATCCTAGGCAACTAGTTTAGCAACGAATGGATAGTTACAGAACAGTCACTCAAATGACAGTTGAACGAAACTCTCCATGACTAAAGTGAGATTGACAACTCGCGGTCGGTTCTCGTAGCTTGGTTAGTAGAGATCTGGGTTAGTAATCTGGAATTTTCTGCTTCGATTCCTGGCGCAATCGAGATTTCCATTTCCAGTTCAATCGTCTATACCCTCACATCTATAAAAGTCCACCACTAATGTAGGTAGCCAGATAGTCAACAAATGAAAAAGAATTACTTCCAAGTTGTAGATATTTATTATTTTCGTATTTGTATTTCCCAATGGATTTTAAGTATTAACAACGTAATGAGAAAACGGTGATTATCTTAAACATGTGATGCACTAATGCAATACATTTCGAACAAGCTGATCACATGGGCTTGTCATATAATTCATATAAAGTCTGTGAAAAGTTAATTAAGCCAATGCAGTTATAATTAGAAAAGATAATAAGGGCAGAATGAAAACAAGGAAGAAAAAAAGGTGAAATCACCACCACCATTAGTATGAAGAGTTGAACTCAATACTACCAGTGAAAATTGTTTTTAAATGCATAAAAAGGGTTTAAATTTATGGATAGCAAGTGCTTCTATGAATCTATAAGTATTCGTCCTTAACCATATCTATACGGCCGTTTTCATGTCAGTCATATGACCAGTTTCCAATTTGTGTTCTGCGATCTATGGTGGAGGATACTTTTCGCTTGCAATTATCAAACTGTTAGATGTCATTTGTTTCTGGATCCACTCAGGCACATTTTCAACCATTCTTAAATGCATCTCACGATTGTTCCTACATATTTATACTTCCACACACACACACACACACACACACACACACACACACACCACACACACACACACACACGTAAGTTATAATTGACTCAACCTTTCAGTTTTATTCGGCAAGTTCATGTGCAATCAGACCTAACATTGTATAGTGCTAATACGTCACATGTTTCAGATAATCTCCGTCTCCTCACTATATTGTTTAAATTTATCAAAGGGACTAATTGTTCCAAGTTTCTGAAAGGAATATAAAGTTTCTGCACTTTAAGCAACATTTCCCAGTAAACAAACGGAAATGGAGAGTACACTTTGTTAGGTATATCTGAAGGCAGATAAATGATATCATCTATAAAGTTGAACTAGATTTCGTGATCGCTTAGACCACATGATGTAAAATATATTTATGTAGTCATTAGGAAGATAGAATGACATGGTATTATACATCACTGTACAGCGAGCATGCCTTGAATAAATGATTGACCTTGAGGCGACTGAACATATTAGCATATTAATTGTGAATTGAAAAGCTAATAAGAAAATGGCGTCCTTAAAAGCAGTAAAAACGAGTGATGAACGCGAGGTGAAAAAAGTGTGAAAGAGATATTTAGCTTTTGGCCGAGTAAATTTTATGAATCTAAGACATAAAGTGTTCAATTCTAGAGATCTAACATCCTCAACAGGATTGCAATGTTGATTTATTGTGTACCTTTGCTATCATTCGAAAATCATGCTGAAAACTTTGATAAAACGAAACTCAATTTTTTTATTTAAAATAATGTAGGTGTTTCATTTGATTTCGTGACTAAAATACACATTGTAAAACTTAGTAAGCTTAATTGGTTGTTATGTATAACCAATTCAAGCTGATTTTTGTGCAACTTATAGCAAAATTACTTTGAAACGTGAATGTAAATTGTGAACTGTCGAATCGTCGAACTACGAAATGTTAAGCTGTCAGTTGTATCAACGAAATTCTGTTTAATCTGTTTTTCGTAGTTTTGTTTGTTTTCCACCTACTCAACTGTTTACTTTTATTCTGCATTGTTATGATATTTTAGGATGAGATAGCTAAGTACGACCAAATATGTGAAGATGCTTATGAATTAGCAAAGAAGCACACTGTTACATATAATCGAGCTTGGATTGATTCTCCATGGCATAACTTCTTTGAAAATAAAGATCCAATGCATTTACCAAATACAGGAGTAGAAAGTGATGTCTTGGAGCATATTGGTAGGTTCGCAGGAAAGATTAAGTTAGTTTTATTACTAAGTGTGTTCTGGTTTTCTTATTTCAATATTAGATGATCTTAGTTATACTCGAATCATTGTTATGCAAAGAGGGGACTGAATTTATTTGAATATTCATTCTGTTTTGATGCCAAAACCGGTTGTATTTCTTTCCGTTTGTATACTTCATAATTCTGATCTCATTCAGGAAAAACATATTCAAAAATAGTTAAATAATTTGGCTTCGGGTAAGCTAATGATCAACTCAACATTAAGGTTGTTCAGGGGCCAGTTTGGGATCTCGTGTTCTGTACATAATCTAATATTTTTGCACTTCGATCCCATCAAAAGTGACAAAATAATTGTCTCATCTAAAGAATTCAGCGTAGAAGCAGTTTTGTAAGTGGTAAATGCCATTAATGAATAGCTCTTGGCACTCAAACTGTTCATGAAAGATAATTTGTTGTGTTTCTCTTGTGTTGAACCTTTTAAAGGAATATGGTCGCACGATATACTCATTACAATAACTGAAATACAATACTTCGAATATTTTGTAGAATCACGAAAACTTCAGTTACTAATCTTATATGGTTAGTGTGTCCCCTATCATTGTTCAGATCTCTCAAGGAAGGTGAAGATCCCCTAAGCCTTTCATTATCCGTCACTATACTCCGAATTTTCGAGAAAAAACACGTGATCACATTTGTAGATAGGTCGAAGAGGAAACGTCCCAGAACAGCCTGGAAATATCCAAGGACATTACACATATATCAATCACTGTATATATTTTGATGTTGCAGTACACATGTTACTTTTCCTCCTTTTCTGTTTTCCAAGGAATAAAACGATGATCAAGAATGGAGTCTGAAGGTCATTGTTCAAGTTTCCACACGTATGTAGCTATACTGTATCACTTGTATTACTAGATGCTAGTTTTAAAGATAAAGGAAAACAGTGTCTTAAGCTACCTTGTCAGTGAACTAAGTACTCAGGTAGGCTGTATTCTTTCCCTCGTTGCTAGTGGGATATAAAGTGCAAAATGCTAACTCATACTTTTGTTTTGTAATGCATTGGATGACCATCAGGAATCAAAATGCAATAGGTAGTGCCGGATCCACTGGAATTGCATGACTATCCACTTCACTAGAGCACAATTTCGTATCCGTTTATCGGAACCAAAGATTAAGTTTTATATTTTGAATTCCGCAGCATAAAATTCAGTTATTTGTTCACATAGCTTGATTTTTTCACGATTGTTTGTTGAACTCACTTTTAAGATCACGAAATTCAATTTTAGGTCGTGTAATTAGTGAACCTCCTGAAGGAATGATTATTCATCCTGGCTTAAAAAGAGCACTGAGGGAACGTAAAGATTTGCTGGAACAAAAGATGGCTAATTGGGCTCTCGGTGAATTGTTTGCCTACGGATCCTTATTAAAAGAAGGTTTCCATGTCCGACTATCTGGTCAAGATGTTGAACGAGGAACATTTTCACATCGACATTGTGTTTTACACGATCAGGTATGGCGTTTTTATTCATAGGCAAAATTATGCAATTCCGCTTTTGATTTCTGTGCTTTATCTCTTTTACCTATGTGATTTATAGTGGACGTAGAAATGTTTGAATAACGAGGTGACTGGAAAAATCATCTACCAATACAGATTGCTTTTGATGCGTTTTTAAAATAATATAATGATTTCTTAACATAGGGAGATAGAAGCACGTGCGGTTTACGTATGTTTCATCATAGTTCTATATGATTGTCCTAACACTAGGAACAATATAGTGCGAAATGTCACATGTAGTTTTTCATAGCTTCGCACCTTATATAGTTGATTATTTTTCACCATTTGGTCAGTAAATAGGATCATGGGATTCGGTATTACAAAGTAATCGCTCAAGTTATCACATAGCACATCAAGATGCAGGATAACTCAATGAACAAGAGAGAAAACGCAAAATTCAATCAAAAGTCGTAGCAAGTCACAGAAGGAGTAGATGACAGTACAAAAGAAATAATGAAGCGTAGTATAATGTCTAAGATGAATTTAAAGTTTTAACGCATATACACCACTGCTATCGATTCTGACTAGCCACAAACTGGTGTAATCAGCGTTTCCCTAAACGAATCAAACCAGCATTCAGAGATGTCGTGCAATAATGCCGATTTCCTGACCTAGTCACTCTTAACCTTCATCCAACCTAAACCTGTTTCAAATAACACCATATGTCAGGTCGTACAGTGAATAAACGTGCGTAACACATGTCCCAGTCTTGGTTGTATTGTGCTCTTTGAGCTTTCATCGTCTTTCTGAACAACGTCGTCAGCACTAACTTCAGTATGCGGTGAGCTGTTAATATCTCTCCGGGAGTGATTCAGTAGCTTGCTCTGGCGAACTGGTTCGTAATTGGGTGTTTCCTTTAATTGTTGTCATCGACTAGATAGATTTTCTTGATGGCTGTTCCTCTGATCGATCCCTGACTTCATATTATTACTTTTTTTTCCCTTGGGTTCCTAGTGGAACATAGGGCTACAGTTGCACGACTCCATTGCACTCTGCAGTTTTTAAACCTGGCTCCACAACTGCCCACAAGCTTTCATTTCTTCCTCACTTGATCTCCTCCATGTTACCCTCAGCTGGGATGCCCAACTCGTCGTTTCCCCTTTGGATTCCACTCGAGAGCCTGGCCCGACGCGTGATGTCTTTGAATGGTTTTCTCAGTGTGTCCCCAGTGCATCTCCACTTTCTTCTGCCAGTTTGTTAGGTGATAGGTTCTTGATCGGTTGGTTCGTTGCCAGCCAGAGTTCTTTGTCTCTTATTCTAGTGAGTGATGTGATCCTACATCTACTCCCCTTCTTGACCTTGTGTCTAGGAGACTGCGTCTCCACTTTCATCAGATTGAGATAAAGTCGATTTGATTTTTAGTGTGTCCTGGCGTCTGGTGAAATCCATGTCGCTTTGTGAATATCCTTGTGCTTGTACACACTGCCTCCAATCACCAAATCGTTGAATGCACAGAAATCTGCAAACAATTCTCCATTCTCATTCATCATTTCACCGAGTGCTTCTCGACCCATTATGAGTTCACTTCCTGTGTTGTTCACTCCGAGTTTCGCATTCATGTCACCCCACCCATTAGAATTTTGATGTCGCCAACCGGGATGGAGTCTTGTCCAGTACTCATTGCAGTTGTCTGTAGAATTCCTCCTGCTTCTCTTCATCTGCATTATTTGTAGGTGCGTAGTGTGGTGTAGTGTAGCATTGTATGATTGTGGCTTTCCTTCCTTCTGATTTGAATGTTGCTGTCATGATTCTGCAGGAGGTTGTTGCTTCCCACTGTATGAGAGCCTTTGGTGGTCTTGGGGACATCATGATAGCCACTTTATAACTGAGTGTTCTTGTGGTTTTCGTCTGGGTGACAATGTCGTAGTAGATTATTGACTCTCCAGTTGACAGTTTGGAGAGTCCACTTCCATTCCACCTACTTTCGCAGATTCCTAGCACTTCAATGTGAAACCTTCTCATCTGTTTTGCAATTTGGGCAGCCTTGCCAGCCAGCCAGCTAGCTGCAAACATTGTTCGGACATTCCATGTCCCCATTCTTACTTTCGCTTTCATCGAGGGAAGAGAAGACATATCGGCCAATTGGCTTCCCGAAGGCTTTCACCAACCGGCGTGATTTCGCCTCCCCGATTCCAGTGAGGAATAGGTTTGTTTTTTCTTTGTGCTTTGAAGTTTTTTTAGTGGTTGGATTGGTTTTTCATGGTAAGGTTGCTGTATCTATGCCCAACCTTGTTTCTTTATCTGGGCTTAGTACCGGCTGGTAACTAGCGAGCTAGTTACCTAGGCGAGATTCTCTGACTTCATATTTTGTCATTTTGCTTATTGATTGATAGATTGGGTCTACGTCTATACATCTATTGATTGCTGACTGACCTGAATCCCAAGCTTCTAGGAATTCTCTGATATTCTTTGTGTTTCCTCTGTCCAAGATTTCTACATTATCAAAATTGGATTCGTGTCCATAGTTATCCACGTGCACGCACGCACGCAAGCACACAACTAGTTGTTGTTTCTACTGTAGTTGAGGATTTAATCAGTGTGCTTTGACTTCCTGTACACTTGAGTTTCCAGTTTTCCAGCATTTGTTCTACTGACTAAAACATCCAGGAATAGTAGTTGGTTGTCTAACCCCTTTCTCCATTGTGAAATTGATATCATTGAAAACGTTGTTGATCATGCTGCAAGTGTTTTCTAAGTCATCTTTTTTCATGATGACAAAAATTTTGTCCATATAGGGAATCCAAATGTTTGATTTGATCACAGGTAAACTGATGGCTTCCAGTCTTTGCATCATTGCTTCTGTAATTATTGCAGATGTCGGTGATCCCACTGGGGTTCCTTTCATCTGTTTGTATATCTTGCTATTAAATTGGAAGCACGTTGTCCGACAAAGATCAATGAGTTTTATCAGCCTTATATATATATATATATATATATATATATATATATATATATATAATTCCTTGTATAATTGTGCTAACTATATTAGGTCATTCTGTTCGATTCGGGTAGTGTTCATTTGTTCTCACTGCTAAAACGTGAGGAGTGTCTATGTGTTGCATGCACGGATATTTATATGATAAATTACCTATACTTTATCATTGACTATTTTTTTTGAAGGAAGTGGATAAAAAAACTTTGTTCCATTAAACCATCTTTATCCGTCACAAGCACCATTCACTGTTTGTAATTCAAGTTTATCTGAATATGCAGTAATGGGTTTCGAATTGGGTTATTCACTTACAAATCCAAACGCTCTTGTTTTGTGGGAAGCTCAGTTCGGTGATTTTAATAACACTGCTCAGTGTATCATCGATCAGTTCATTTCATCTGGCCAACAAAAGTGGGTACGCCAATCAGGACTAGTTCTTCTGCTTCCACATGGTTATGAAGGTATGGGTCCAGAACATTCTAGTGCTCGCATTGAACGATTTCTGATGATGTCTAATGATGATGAAAATCATGTGCCTGTAAGCAATGTTTTTCACATTATTGTTGCTTAAATTTTAGTGACACACTTTCTTTTTGTCATTCCACGTTTAGTTACAAATAACCATAAGATCAATGTCATCGGTGAATGAAAGCTTACTCATGTGCATGTTGTATAACACTGTTGCGTTGTATGCCAAGTAACAAATTATTTTACTGTCTCAACTTTCATTATTATAGCTTTTTCTCCACGCGATAAATTAGTTCACTGGCTGTAAATATTACCTGTGTAAGCGTCACTTGAAACTCGTGATGCTTTACTATCCTATCTTACTTTTGGTTACAATTTTTCGAGCGTCGTAACGCTTACGATCATTATTAGTTCGCCTTTTTAAGTTGATTTCCATGACAAGTGTATGTTTTTATGTTTAGTATGTTCAAATGCATTATCTCGTAACCAGATTGTCGAACGATGTTGTATTCCTTCGTAATCGGAATTTGTTTTTTTCCCATGTGTCAGCTGATTGAAAATGATGAGTTACTTTCTAAGAAATCAGTTGTTCTCAGTGTGATGACGTTGAAGGTGATAAAAGCTATGTAATTATCAGCTTCGTTACTGTTTAGTTGCGTGTTTTGGTTATGCTATTTCTGCTCTCCTTCTGTTTGATTTTCACCTTTATTGTCTTGTTTAGTTGGCGTCAAAGGTAAGTCGTTTTTGTGCACTATCCGTTAGGCTGTTCACTTTTTAGATCTTATCCTAACTTAGCTCATTTGTACTTATGCTCTTCTTTGCTAAACTGGTTATAGGTACACCGTTTTTCGATTATATTCATTTTCTTATCTTTTATGCTTTCTTCTTGGTGAATAAAGTTGTACAGAATTCTAATGCTACTTATTTTGAAAGCTTAAAATGGAGAGATGTTTGATAGGTGTATGTTTTGACGAGTTAGTATTTAAGACAGGACAATCTAAGAAGTGATTACTTATTCTTTAATTATTCCACTTTCTACTTATTAAGGCAGGATTATTATTATGCATAGTTAAAACACAATTTGACACTTTAAATGAACGACGTATTGCTCTCATGTATATAGTCTAGAACATTCAGTTTACTTCATGCATGCGTCATAATTTTATGTTACCGTAGTTCTCGCATACCTTCACATTTTGGTATGAATTGAAGGACTATTCTAAAGGCAATCAAAATCTAATCCTACCAATGAATGTCAAAGAATTGTGATAAACATCTAGAAAATAATTAGCTAATATTTCATTGCACCTTAACGATATATATTGTTGTCAAACAGGAAAGTTCTTCCTAGGATGTTACTTCTAGATTAATTTTGAATAGAAACGAAAATCTGACTGGTTTTTCATCGACAAAGTGTGCACTTTTTATCACAGTTTCGTCAAAAATGATTGTAGTGCATTCTGACTACGCTGTTTATAAATTTGTATTCGACCACAGATAATCAGCGGTGCATACATTGTTTGTTTAGAGTACAAGTTATCCATAATGTCCCAGTTAATTTATTCTAATTTCATTGAATGCGTTGGTTCTACATAATACTTTTCAATTCCATATTCTTTGCTTTTCGTTTCTTCAGTAAGTGTGATGATTTTCCGAAAACATACTTCTTACTCAGTTCTTTTAGTGCACTCCTTGATTATGTGTTTGCAAAACGTATTATGTTACTGTGCTGACTGTTCAAGAATTGTATTGTTCTGCTCATATATTTCAATCTCGATGCTGCAGCAACGAAAATTTTACCGTAGATAACAGGTTAATCACGATTTATACATCTGGATGTGCAGAAAGGAGTTTTCATTTTTCATGACTACTGGTATATTGAGATGGCGTATGTCCAGGAAAATAAGCTAATATCTATTCATGAGTATTTACTTAGAAGGAAACCCAACTCCAGTCACTTCGTTTTTTTAATTCACGAATAATAATATTGAAACTCCCGTTTTGTTTCTCTTGAAAATATTTGTGCCGAAAGGAATTTCCAACCACACCTTACTGACTGACTATCTAACCGTATATAACAAAATATTTGTGTGATATACTTTTTTTACTCAAATTGTATGTGGTGCTTTTGCAAAAAATACATTTATTCTGAGTGGCATCCACACCACAACACACATCTAGACACACTGACTTATGCAAGAAATCGTGCGTTTGATGTAGTTTTCTAGAATGTTGCAAGTTTTTTATCTTTCACCTTTCGATATTTTTTAGAATTTAGTTGTACTCTAGTCTAAATCTAAAAACTAACAAATCGTCAGCTTGTTTGTATTAATGATAAATTTTTAATATCGTATAAAACAAATATGTCTAGAGGTGCATAACTTTACTCATTTATTAACAGTTCTTTCTAATTATCTGCACTAAACGTTCCATTTTCTATCATTCAGTAGCATGTCTATAGAAAACAATAGTCCTAAACAAACTAACATCTCACAAGTTTATGTAAGGTCGTTTGAAGTCTGAATACACAATCATAAAAATCTAATGCTTTTCTTTTCATGATACATATTTCGTAAATGAATCTTATTTCAGGTCTACAGTGATAACTTCACCATGCAACAATTGCATGATACAAATTGGATTATCGCAAACTGCACTACACCAGCGAACTTCTTTCATATCTTACGTCGTCAAATTCTGCTGCCTTTCCGTAAACCAGTAAGTGATTTCTATGAAATGGGATTTTCCAATTCAATCGGTTATTGACATGTGTTCAGACATAAGTAGTAAGTAGCGTGGAATTGAATTTTATTTGTTTCAGGTTCATCCATTCTTAACAACCGTAGGCACCTTCTTAGAATGAGAGAATTGTGCTACTTTGTCATCCTAATAAGCAAGTTAGTTTTGAAAGACTGTTCAGTTAAGTAATTACCGAGAAATTTTCTGTTATGTGTAATTTTACAGAACTTATTTGTTAAATAACATATCATTCTTTGAGGGCTCATCAGTGAAGTTTTGCTTGGCAAAGTAAATACCATAGGATGATGATTGCCGAATTTAGACGTGTTACTGTCTGCTCACTTAGTATCCGATTAATTACTATGTCTTAGAGAAATATTAATGGCTACTATTACCTACTGCAATTCCTCATACCATCCCGTGTTTCAAGCCAATTGTGGATCAACTTTTGCTCAAAATCATCGACTTTGTAGATGTTGCTTCCGTTTCTAGACATGTAGACTATTGGGTGTTTTGTTTTCGTAGTGATTTTTTAAACTTCCATTAAGTTTTCATTCTATACATATATATACATATCAATACATAATTTTATTTCTTCAGCTAATCGTCTTCACTCCTAAATCCCTACTACGTCATTCAGAGGCGAAATCACCTTTCAGTGATATGCTTCCAGGTTCAGAATTCCAACGCTACATTCCTGATAGCGGTCCGGCTTCTCAGAAACCTGAAAATGTGAAAAAATTAATTATTTGCTGTGGCAAAGTAAGCTGAATTGCACAGAATGCATGCATTGAAGGATTTTACAGTGTATTGATTTTGATTTTGCACTTTCATTTATCTGGTCTACTTTTAAAGTAGCATTAACGGTAGTAGTATTGTAGGAAACGAGAAGACAGACAAAGGAAGGAATGTTTATGATTAAGATCTGGTACACTTGTCAATCAATTATAGTGTACTCCTTGCGGTACGACAGTCATTTTCATAATGTGCTTCATTTCCTCTTCTGCTTCTATCTTGATTTGCTCTCAGTATGCCCACTTTGTCTCTTGGGTTTCTCTGGGAAGAATCTATCGCTGGTAATTGCCTATGATTTCTGCCACCCTCTCAATATATACTACTTACATCCATTCTTATCAGCAGTACTATCAATTCTGAAATTTTGGATTATTTCGACTCCGCCAGTCCAATAGTTTACATATTCTTCCGTCTTAAAACGATTTCAGATATTTCCTGTCACATTCATGCTCAGTTCTGTTAAAGAATAATTTGTGTTGGCGTATAATTTGGGAAAAGACTAGAGATCTGGAATAAATACAAATGCAGAAATAGAAACAAGCAAATCTGTACCATAAATTGATGATATTATTTTTTTATTTGGGCCTAAGTATGTTTTTTCTTCAGCTGAAGAAAATACTTTCCACAAGAGCCTCTGGTTTTTTTTCTGATAATGTTCCTTTTCAAATCACGGCCATTTGTACATAAAGTTGACTCTGTAACATCAGTATAAAGACTTGTTTGGTGTCAAATTACACTTTCATTGTTATGAGCTTTGTCTACAAGCTTATTATGTGTTTGTAGTGTGCATTCTGACTTCGCGTTCCGAAAAAGCTGATAATGAGTTTAAATTGATGCAAACGTTTGTAGCGTAGAACGAGCAGCTTTGGTATCTTTTCAAAGCTCAGAGAACATCAAATCGTCGTCTTCATCAATAATGTTATAACATACTACTTTATATCACCTTGTTTCTCATGTTCTCGTTTACCAAATGTATATTTTACTTATTTAATACGGATAACTACACCGAATCGTGTTAAAACGAAAAAATGACTTAAGTTTCAAGTTAATGGATTCTGTAGTTTTCCCTATGCTAATGAATACGGCGTAATCAAGAAAGTGAAGTTGTGTATTTACTTTGGGCACAACGGTTTACCTTTTATCAATGTAGACATGAGACCAAAAACCTCAGTTTGTACAAAACCGAGAAATCTTGCGGGGATTGAGAGTATTACTTAGTGTATATCTTGATCTGTATTACGACACAGCAGATTGCACTATGTATTATCGGTCAACACATTCACTTTCTCCCACTACTTTTCATATTGCTGAAAACTTCGACATATCGATACCTATATCACGACTTTTTATTAGTACTAAATTCGTTTTGAAATAGGTAAGGTGCATAAAACAACTATGGTTAATTTCATATTAACGTTGCCTGAATAGCACATACTAAGCTTAAAGCATTAGTGAAAAAGTTCATATTACAAGCTTTTTTGTGTCTTTTTTCTTCGTATTTGATATCACCTAATACTATCGATGTACATACATATATAATGATCATCAAAAATGGTCAAAAATTTACCTTGTCCCCCAACTTTTCATCTCATTCATACGTGATTTCAAAAGTACTATTATGATGAATCTTTTTATATCAATAGTCTTATTATCAAACATTGCTACTTAGGTTTATTACGAATTGGATAAAGAGCGAAGGTCTATTAATAAAGAAACAGAAATAGCTATCAGCAGAGTCGAACAACTGACTCCGTTCCCATATGATTTGATTCAACAAGATTTAGAACGTTATCCTAATGCCGTTATACAATGGGTACAGGAAGAGCATAAGAATATGGGAGCATGGACTTACATACAGCCAAGAGTAAATCATCTCATATTTAGAACAATGCCAGACCGTCATCACAACCGTGTTTTGTAAGTGAACACTTTCATATAATTATTTATCTGTCTTTGTATAGCATTGCATCTTTTCGCTTTGCAAAACTTAAAGTGGTGCATCCTTCTTTGCAAATCTTAATTTTGTGCTATTAGTTTCTACTAATGGATACCCTAGAAATGGACCAATTTAACTATATTTCAGTCATCATTTTTCTGAGTAGTAGTGTCTATATTTCTTTTGTTTACCATATTTTCAACAACTTTGAATCACCGACCTTTCGACCGAACGTTTGCAGCAGAGCTTTGTGCAGAATGGTATCACTGATCTGAAACTGCGGTCTGCACTGCTTATTCGATCTCTCAATTTCCTAACTCTCCATGGAATTAGACAAACCTCGTTAACCAAAACTCAGATTTCGCGTCATGAATGTGTGCTGCGTTTACGAGACAAACACACACTAACTACGTACACTTATTCTCTTAATCCTAACCGGTGGTTTATGGTGAATCTTCAAAATTCACCATTTGAGCTTCTAGAGATTCGGTAGCTACTTCCCGGGGTTTCGTTTGTGTAGGCATAGTGTTAAGTGCTAAGGTAGAAATGCACTGTTCAACTGAATTCCCAGTAGACAGGGTGAGGACTGTAACGAGTAGTGAAACCCACCGTTATCTCTCTGTGATCTCTACTGACACATCCACTCACTGCAATTTGAACAAAGTGAAGGATGTGTTCTACCGAAAACTGTGTGGCCTCTTACTGAAATTCAAACTCTGAGATGTTATTGCAGCAGGTGACTTGGAGGTACATGTACGTGGGCTAGTTCAGACAGAAGAACACAGTTGACATTTTTGGAATGTAACCGAACGAACTGATGGTGATCGCCTGCTAGACCTTGCTTTCTCAGTTAACCACCTATTTCTTGATACAATTCCAGTGCAACTCATTCCATGTGTTTGTGTACAAGTCTATGATATATGCATACATTGTGGAATGCCGATTTGAGACATAGGGGACAACATTGTCAGACGTGACGTCCACCAACCTCAACTTGATGTTGGATACAAACTGAATCTTTATCAGTTGTCTCTAGAGGGTCGGTAAAAAATTGCCATTCATTCTGGAACATGATTTCGAATATGGATCACATATTGTTTCTGGCACGTGCCTGTTTTAAAACTATGAGTAGAAGGTACTTTTGAGCTCAGTCTTGTGATGCAGCTTCCAAGGTTGCCGTTAAATATGGACAGACATTGGAACATGACAGTGTTGTTCATTCTTACAAAGTCTGTATTCATCTGGAGTGTACTGTAAAAATAGGTAGTGGCAATAGTAGACAGCTGTTTAGACCTATCACTTTAAGGAACGGTTTATCTGACCTCCAGCTACTCTTTGGTTGTTCTATTCCTAGTTGCATCTTGAATAAAGTATCGACATACATTCTTCAGCTCTTGCAAAAGTTGAGGTTGTAAATAGTGTGAAACAAGGAAGCCAAGCAGCTTGCGAATTGCTTATACTTGAGGTATGTGACAACAGTGCTCCAGTCATATTGCTTATGCTGATTGAGTTGCTAGTTAGTATGTGCAAATCAGCCTCACAAATATAGTTCCTTTGGTGCCAAGCCCAGTAACCGTTCACATTTCGAAAAAAGAAAGCAAATTTCAGCCTGGGCCAGGAGTGTATCGAACAGATGTTCACTTTTGGAACTCCTAACTCTATATTTGTTGACTTTGGGATTATATTCGACTTCGATGTTCTGGAGCTAGAGCAGTGCTTGACGGAAAGAGGTATTGGGAAGTACATCATTTTGTGATGCTTTCTAACCTCGAACACTGAAGGTCGTGCTTGTGTTTAAAGTATGCTATCGAGTTTTCTTCGTTAAGAGAATGTTTACTCTGTTCCTAATCACCCTTATTGAAGAGATGTAAGTGGCAGTTTCTCTCTCCTTATAGGGAAAACTCCTTGGTAGGCTTAGAGTACCCTGATGATGCAGTCTGGTTAAGCGAAAACCCAAGTACCCAAGTAGCTATGAAACGTAGCTAGTAAAGGTTGGAGACATGGAAAGATCCCCAGTTTTCGATTACAGTTGTCTACGCAGCACAACTCGTGTTTTGTAGAGGTAATTCAATTGATAGGATTATGAACCTTCATCAACTCAGGTGACTGGGACATGTGTTACGCACGTTTATTCACTGTACGACCTGACATATGGTGTTATTTGAAACAGGTTTAGGTTGGATGAAGGTTAAGAGTGACTAGGTCAGGAAATCGGCATTATTGCATGACATCTCTGAATGCTGGTTTGATTCGTTTAGGGAAACGCTGATTACACCAGTTTGTGGCTAGTCAGAATCGATAGCAGTGGTGTATATGCGTTAAAACTTTAAATTCATCTTAGACATTATACTACGCTTCATTATTTCTTTTGTACTGTCATCTACTCCTTCTGTGACTTGCTACGACTTTTGATTGAATTTTGCGTTTTCTCTCTTGTTCATTGAGTTATCCTGCATCTTGATGTGCTATGTGATAACTTGAGCGATTACTTTGTAATACCGAATCCCATGATGTTAATGGCAAACTGGTCGTTCCTAATCATCTAAACAGCCTATTCGAAATTATATTCTTTAAATGATTTTCTCGTATAAGTCATTGATACAGATGATTCGAAATTTTTAGGTATCCTGTTATAGCTCTTAGTCCTGTGAATCCTAACTGACAGTGCTTTTGGCATGAATATCTTTTATTTTAGTGGTAAATGCACTTCTTTCCCTCATTGTTCTTTTTTCGGCGCACATGACTGTGTGCTCGAAGGTTGCTGTGTAGTTAAATCTACCAGTGAAATGCAATGTCATCTGTTTTTTGTTTTCTATAGTTATACTGTATAGGTTTTGGTTGTGTTGCGTTCTCGTAACTGGGTGGTTTAATCGTGAAGCCTTCAGTCTTTCTTGACAACATCATCAGCACTAACTTCAATAAGAAGTGAGCTGTCAGTATTTCTGTATAAGTGATTCAGTAAATAAATCTGTTAACCAATAAGGTAAGTGGTAAACAACTACAAGGTCAGAGGTCAGGTAGAGAAACAGCAGACAGGAAATTGTGTTCATGCAATGAAGCAACAATCAAATGAATCGACTAATCACAAGCCACTTTGTGAGAGCAAGCTGCTGAATCACTCAGGGGAAAACACTGACAGCTCATTTCATATTGAAGCTAGTGCTAATGATGTCTAGAAAAATGATGAAAGCCTCATGATTAACCACCTAGTTCAGAGAACACAACACAACCAAGACCATCCATCTGAGTTACAAAGAGCGTACAGGTTGTTTGTACTGCGTTCCCTATGACCGTTTTTGCTTTTGTCATAATCACTGTCCCTGTTATTGTCAAAATAGTCACAGTGAACAAAACAAAGTCAAATCCGTTTCATTAGATTGGGCTTATAAAATGAATCATTGTGAGTTAGTAGGGATTGCAGCCGTGATGTGGGGTCCTTCTTGGCTTCAGTATCTATTGGTCATTTTTAGAACAGTATTCAGTTATCTTTTACGTGTAACTTATATTTGAATGCATCCCATATCTACTTGGACTAACATTCTTTGTTAAAGCGAATGCTTTAGAAGTTCTATATTTTTGCTCGCATTTAAAATTTTATTTGGTTTACTGACAATTTTTAGTGAGCATAAAACGGTATCTTGCCCACAATTACAAATGAACAGGATGAAAAAAGATATTAGGCAGATCAAATCAATTAGAAACTCTGCAGTAATTGATATTTTTTTTAAAAATACAGTTAAATAATGTAAGGTATCTGGTGAAATGGTCTAATTATTATGTTTGATTGGAAAATTTGTAATTAAATAATGCTCAGTAGTAGTTTCATTGGGTATAGGGTGTAACATATCTTTCAAATTTTTGAAAAGCAACGAGCCATTTATAAAGACGATTACTTTGTAATGTGCATGTCCCATCTTTTTTGTTATCATCTGCACTCAAGCGACCAATCGCATACTTCTGATATTATTCACTTGTAAACTATCAAACTTTCGTGCTAGTCTTTCTGCGACTTCTTAACGTTCATACTTAAGAGTTATGTAATAACTTTTACATTGAACTCGCTCAATGTTAGCTGATGAAGTACGTTTGTATTGGGAAAAGGTTAAAAGCGGTCAGGCCTAAGCGTAGCCTCATTCCTTGAAGCTTCTGATTTCATCTGAGTCATGTTAGAGAACTTAGACTTCCCGATTGAGGTTCGTTTGGTATCTAAAACCGACGGTGATGTGACTCAGAATTAATCTCAGTGGCATATATTCATCCACAGATTATCTTCGTCATATCGAATTCTTCTCTCTACTCTTTCCCTCCTCACTTTTAAAGACTTCCTGCCTCTGTTGATTAATTTATTCCTCACTTCTTTATCTTTCAACTTGGTTCTTTTCACTTCAGTCAGCAGGGTTTAAGGTGTAGCAATCCCAAATCTTATATTGGTTTTGACACTATGCTTACGTACACGAATTTTGTTATTAAGTTTTCTACTCATACTTCTTTGTAGATCTTATGCTTGTAGTTAAAACGGTTGCATTAGTTTTTTGGACATTTGCCTTATTTCATATTCAACGTTTCATTTCTGTAAGTTGTTTATTTTTGCGTTTTAGGTATGCTGGTCGACAACCTAGCGCTGCCACTGCTGCTGGTAACAAAGCGATGCATTTGATGGAGATCTCTCATTACCTGAAAAATGCTTTATCCTTAAGCTAACTACATGCACTATTTGTGACAATTTTATGCTCTTCCACCGAGTTTAACGATGAGTTTATTTTCTGATAAGTTCACCCTAGTTCGCTTTATTTTCTTTCTCACACTAACCCCCTATTCTTAGCAAAACGTTTTTCATATAGATGTATGTAGATAGAGAAAACTGTCATCCGTTTGAGAATGGCTGCAATATATAACATATCGTGATTAGATGCTGAAATGTTTTCTTTAATTCGTTAGTTAAATATTTGATTGCCTGTTCTTGATATTTCACTGATACTACAGGGTGTACAATTCGTGTCAGCTTTAAACTAGTATATTTTTAATAAACTCGTTACACTTCGACATCATTGTAGCTATGAAATTCATTACTTTTTGTTTCGTCGTGGACAGCAATGGAATTCAGGATGCATGTTTCATCCTATCCGTAACTCGTCAGCTGGGTGTGCCTGGATGCTAATGAGTGGTTTGGTTTTCAGTGAACACCCATGGCTTCAAACTCCAGAGCATTTTCCCCTAGGCTACTAAGTCATAGGACCAAATTTCCGTGCAATATGTATCGCTTGTTATATACTGGTGCCTGTAGTGTCCCAATGATTATTATGCCGAACCGCATTGATCGGTCACTCTAGGAATACAGACCCCTATCTTGTATTTGTCTAGCGCTAGTCAATCTCGAAATTGAAGGTTAGGGTGAATGGTTTTTGCTGGAAATACCCTTTCTTTTGGGTTTTATTGGTTATCCGAATAATGATCATATGATAAAATGCAGTAACCGTCATCGCATTCGATTGAGTTTAATTAAATTTGAAATCATAGGAATACTTGTATTTGTTATTATCAGAGTGAGCATGATACTCTTTTGCTAAACGTGACAAAATTCATTGAATTTCGTCACATTAACACCAGGCTAATGGCGGAATACCCGCATTTCGGAAATGAAAATTTTAACGTCTTTTGGGAAATCCTAGAATAGGCTTTGGTGCAAAACTGGAACAAAGCACGATGGATATTTCGTGCTGCTTACAGTCAAGGCTTATCAAGAGCATAAGAGTAACCTTTTAACAACGTTTTATTACTCTAAAATTTATTCTCTGAATGTTGCTACAAGTTTATAATGGATTGAGGTTTTTAATTGAAAACAACGTTAATCATTCTTCATGTTATGCGTTTTTCATTAATAACCTGTATATATACTATTATTGTTTACCCCTTGGGTTCCTAATGGAACATAGGGATTCAGTAGCACAACTCCAGTGAACTCTGTTCTCTGAAATCTTTTGAAACTGGCTCCACGACAGCCCAGAAGCTCTCATTTCTTCCTCACATGATCCCCTCCATGTCACCTTCAGCTGGGATGCCCAACTCGTCGTTTCCCCTTTGGATTCCACTCGAGAGCCTGGCCTGACGCGCGATGTCCCCAGTCGGCCTTCTCAGTTTATGTCCAATCCAATCAATCTCCACTTTCTTCTGCATATTTGTTGGGCGATAGGTTCTTGAACGGTTGGTTCGTTGCCAGCCAGAGTGAGCTCCTTGTTGCTTACCCTTATTATTCTGGCCATCTGAACTTCAGTATCGAGTGAGCGTAGACGGCAGCTGTTGATGAATGTCTGTAGTTTGTTGGAAATGCTTTTCGTGACACGCCAAGTCTCTCAACCATATAGAAGCACTGACTTGACTGACATTGGTGTTGAAAATCCGGATCTTGTTCTTTGTGCTGAGTGCAGTAGCTCTCCACACTGGTTTCAGATTAATGAAAGCCTGTTTTGCTGTCTTTCCGATCCTGGCTTTGACGTCCATGTCTGTACCACCTGTGGTTGAAACGATGCTGCCTAGACAGGTAGGTGAAAGAGACTACTTCCTTTAGGTTTCTCCCGTTGATGGTGATTGGTGCTTGTTGTTGGTTGGGTATCTTCATCACCTACGTCTGTCTTCTCTACATTCACTTGAAGTCCCGTTTTCGCTGACTCTTCTGTCAACTTGTTGGCTTTTGCTTGTAGATCTTCGAGTTTGTGCGATACTATGCACAAGTCATCGGCGAAATCCAAATCTCCTAGGGTCTTTTCATCGATGCAGCCAACGTATGCGCCTCTTCTCGCTCCTCACGGTTTGCTGCATGATCCATTCGAGCCGACCACAATGAGGAAGATCATGGGTGATAGTAGGTGGCAACGTTGTCTTACTCCTGGCTTAACTTCAAAGGCGTCACTGAGCCTTCCATTGTGGATCATCTGGCATGTGGCGTCTTCATATAGCTGTTGAATGAGGTTGATAAAGATTTGTGGTATTCCGTAGTGTTGAAGCAAGCAGCTGCCAAATTACTTCTCGATCGACGCTGTCGAAGGCCTTTTCAAAGTCGATAAAGTTGAGGTAGAGTTGACTGCCATTCTATACTCTGTTCTATGATGATGCGTAGTGTTGCAATTCAATCTGCACATGATTTGTTCTTCCTGAAGCCAACCAGCTTGTTCCGGTCGTAGTTTCGAATCCAGAGCATCCTTTAGTCTCTGCAGGATGATGCGGCATAGTATTTTGTTTGGGGTGGACAGAAGCATGATTCCTCACCAGGTCGCCCTTCTTTGGGAGTCCGCTGGTAAGATAGCCCTTCTTCCAATCTGCAGGTACCTTTCCTTCCTTCCAGACCTTCTGCAACAGTGGTGTGAGGATGTCTGCTGTTGCCTCTGCGTCTATTTTCAGTGGTTCTGGCGGGATTCCATCTGGTCCTGCTGCTTTCCTGCATTTCAGTAGCTTTATGGCGTTCACGACTTCCGCTTTTGTTGGAGGATTTGTGTTCACTGGTAGTTCAGCGGCTGCAGGTGGTATTTCTAGACGAAGTGCAGGTGGTGGTCGATTCAAGAGCTTCTTGAAGTGGTCGGCCCATCGTGTTGAAGCAAGCAGCTGCCAAATTACTTTTCGATTGATGCTTTCGAAGGCTTTTTCAAAGTCGATAAAGTTTAGGTAGAGTTGACTGCCATTCTATACTCTATTCTATGATGATGCGTAGTGTTGCAATTTGATCTGCACATGATTAGTACTTACTACATTTAGGTTACTGTAATATCCCTTATATATACACTAGTGGCACGAACTAATGCGTTAAGTGGACCATGTTTGGGATATGTTCACTCTCGATTTCCACTTTTTGGGTAAGATCAGTATTTAACGATCACTGGTTGGGATTGTTAACATCGGTTTAGGGGGTTCTTTTCCACCTTCGTTTGATATTGTAGAAACGGAATTTGTTGTTTTCAGAAAATCGCCAACTAAAGTCACTATCTAAATTGGTATTGGTTTGGTGGTTAGACTACATCATTGCCAACTTATTTCGTATGGCTTCCAGCGCGGTTACGCTGAACTGTTTCCAAAGAATGACCCTAAATGATGCCAGTTGGTTAAAGCCTTCGGGAAGCCAATTTGGCCGGGCTAAATTGTCTTCTCTCGATGAAAGCGAAAGTAAACGTGGGGACATGGAATGTCCGTACGATGTTGAACCCAGCAAGGCAGCACAGATTGCAAAAGAGATAAGAAGGTATAACATTGAAGTGCTTGGGATTTGCGAAAGCAGATGGAATGGGAGTGGACTCTCCAAACTGTCAACTGGAGAGGAGTCAATAATCTACTCCGGTCAGCCAGACGACAACCACGAGCACACTGAGTTATGGAGTGGCCATCATGATGTACCCAAGAGCATCGAAGGCTCCCATGCAGTGGAAGTCACTCTCATCCACAATCAGGATCGTGACAGCAAGATTCAACTCAAAAGGAAGGAAAGTCACAATCATACAATGCTGCACTATGCACATACAAATAATGCAGATGAAGAGAAGAAGGAGGAATTCTACAGACAACTGCAATCACTTCTAGACAACACTCTAGTTGGCGACTTCAAAAATTCTGATGGTTGTGGTGACATGAATGCCAAACTGCGGGGAGTGGTCAACACAGGAAGAGAACTAACCATGTGTCGAGAAGCTCTCGGTGAGGTGATGAACGAGAATGGAGAATTGTTTGCAGAATTCTGTGCATTCAACGGTTTGGCGATTGGAGGCACTGTGTACAAACACAAGAATATGCACAAAGCCACATAGAATTCACCAGGTGGACACACTAAAATTCAGATCGACTTCATCTCAATGTGAAGAGAGTGGAGATGTAGTCCACTGGACACAAGACTAGATGAAGAAGAGAGAGGAGCAGATGTAGGTTCACACCACTCACTATCTAGTGTAAGGAACCTGCATTGAAAATGAAGTTGAAAGCCTTCGAAGAAGAAGCTGGTGATGATAGACCACAGTTCAAGTTCAACACTCGGAAACTGAAGAACGAAACTACAAAGGAGATCTTCACGTCAGCCAGCCATCAGGACAAAATGGGAGATATCGAGGAACATCACTGAAGAAACCTGTGTGGAAGAACACTGGAAGTCTTTGAAAGAGATGCGGAAAGAAACCTGCATAACCGTATTAGGAAGGAAGAAGAAAGAAGATAAGGAATGGATCTCAATGGATACATGGAAGCTGATAGAGGAGGGAGGGGAAGGTGGTGAAGCAGGAGATGAACCAGTGCAGTGGAAGGATGCACAACGAGAAGAGGAACTGAGTACAATGTATACAACACTGGACAAAGAAGTGAAGAAGATTGCAGGGAAAGACAAGAGACACTTCTACGAGACACTGGCAAGTGAAGCAGAACAGGCTGCAGGCTGCAGGTAGGAGAGACAGAGACCTGACGACATTGTATCAGATAACCAGGTTGCTATCTGGGAGGGAAGAGATCAACACAGGTGAAACCAATAAAAGATGATGACGGAAATTTAATTACGAAAGAAGAGAAACAAAGGAAACGATGATATAGGTGTAAAACTTAGGCACTGTGGTAGAAATTAACTCCATATTAGATTTGTTTTATTTGATTTACACCACACAGTGATCTAGTATTATTTACTTGATGACGTTTCAAGCATAAATTATTGCTCATAATCATATCAATGTGATTATGAGAAA